ACACAGTTCTGCAGTATAAGTCACCTGTTACGAAGGTGCCATTCCTTTCCTGAGGGTCAGCAGATTCGCCCTATTGCTGGCAGGTTTTTTGGCTTCTTTCAGAAGTGTCTTAGGAAGAGTAGCTCAGTATCCATTCACTGCAAAGCTGAAGTCATCTCGTGTGAAATTCCAGGAGTGCGTGAGTCTTTACCTGACCCAGTTATCAGGACTGGAGATTGCAGGAGGTTCTGAGAATGAGCACTCAGAAACTCTGTGAGCAAAGATGAAGGATGCAAAGGGATGTTCTGCCCCCTTCCAGTTTCCTGCTAAGAAAGGCAAAGATCAGCTCCTGGTGTGTGTATCTGCCCCCTCAAAGCTATAGCTGACCTGCTGGAGGTAGCTCACATGAATACAGAATAACTGTTAAAGGCAAATTGGATGTAAGGTTATCATAGAGCATGTTTCATCTCCAACTGAGATGATTTTTTTCTTCAATATATTCTGCTAGAATGCAGAGCTTATCTCACTTGTACTTAAATATTCTATAGCTTTATGAGTGATTTCAGGAAAGAAAGAGAAAATCTGAGAAAATTTATCACTAATCCTAAACCAAGCACACCAGTTTGTTGCATTGATGTTTCAAGGGCAGTTGTAGGCTGGGAATACAGGGCATTTTAGTGTGAAGTCTCCTCATAGCAAGAATTAGCTAGATACATGTGTGAGAGTAGAGAAAGAGTCAGAGGTCCCCTCCAAATTAAATGATTAAAAAAAGATAAAAAGGTGTCCTTGCTAAAAAGTAAAGAATTCAGCTGTCTTTCATGCTTCTTGTATGCCAGAACATACAACTGTGTACTCAATGTACCCCAAATAATTTTGTATTTCAGGCTGTTTTCAAAACCAGATTGTGTTGTGTTGAAAAAGAAACTCTTCTGAGTGATGCAAAAGTTACCTCAAATAAAATACCATAAGATTATTGCACTGATAATAATTCTTCGTGGCATCATATTTCAGCAATGCAGAGGTTACTTCAACATTTTTCTCTACAATTCAGTTACTGCTTACAAGTTTGTTTAAAAAAAAAAGGCAAGTGTAGGTCACTAGATACATAGAAATTAATTTTCTGGGTTTTTTTCTATGTGATTACACTACTTGGCAATCAAATTACTTCATTCCTTTTGTTACATCATTGCATAAATTATTTTGCCCAGACAGGTCAGTGCAGATTTCACCACTGTAATAATTAATTTCAGATGAAAAACAAGGTCCATCAGCATTTCATCATTTAGTTTAGTTTACATGCTATCCTGTCAGTTGGAGATGATTATACTGAGCCAGTTCTTGGTTTAATTTAGATGCATCTTTGTCTCCATGCAGATGCAGTGTCTACAATAATGAGTTGTGACAACTTCAAGTGTCAAAAAATGCTGAGATTTCACTACGTTTGTCTACTGATTCTTAACCTGCCTTATTTTACAGTATTGTAGAATCACAGAATCATTTAGGTTGGGGAAAAAAACCCAGGATCATTGAGTCCAACCACGAAACCAGCACTGCCAAGTCCACCACTAAACCATGTCCCCAAGTGCCCCATCTGCACATCTTTTAATTGCCTTCAGCTATTTCAAATGGTGTTTCAAATAGCTCCAGGTCACTTCAAAATGGCATGCTAAAGCTTTTAGATTGTTTAGCTCCTCTAATATCAACAAATAGGCAGACTTAATAATTAATATTGAAAGTAAATAGATTATTCAACCCATATAGGTTTTCAAGTATTGTTTCCAAATTGTGAATAAATGTCACATCTAGGAAATGCAGGTTTATGATTGTAACACCATTATATAGATTGACTACAAAGAAAAATGAAAAAAAAAACCCCAGCTAACTTCATACAAAATGATATTCCAACAAATTAGGCAGATGAGAAAAGTAGGTTACAGATAGTATTAACAACTGGAACTGTTCTACTTCCAACAGAAACAAAATGGATTACACATCTTATGGAAATGGAAATTATGGTTCTAATTCTGCAGCTTTTAGTTATGTGAATAGTTTTCACACATGTAATTTCTTGCCAGACTGAGTACTGGTGGCTTGTTTCAGGAATCATTTGGAGCACACCTTCCAGGACCCAGAATTCAAATGTGTATATCTTAAGTTACACCTGCAATTAGTATATTAGATTAAGTTGCTAAGGGAGTATCACGTTTGCTGTCTCTAGCAGTCCTCAGTCATTTTATATGGTATAAATAGTTAAGTATTTTCTTTTGTCTTTTTTTCCTCATTTCCCCTTTCTTATGTTGTTTTTTTCCCCAACATTTATGCATAGATTTTTCTGGATCACACAAGGAATTGCATTTATTTTTTTTTCTCAAGACAGTTGTAGATGACTGTAGGATATGAGGTTTATTATTCTTTCAAAAGCCCCATGATTTTTGAAGTCAGTTTTTTGGCTGTGTGATTTCTTAGTGCTGTGGCACATCAGTGAGTTCATCTGTGTGTGTTACTTGAACATTTGTGTGTGAGAGGCAGACCTGACTGATCAGAGACTGCAGCGACAATTTCATGCACAGTGGAAATGATCAAAATAACAGACCACATTTATAGCACAGCTGTGACTTCCATTTCTGTGCAGCTGAATTACACCTAGCTTTGAGAGGATTTGTGAGTTTGTTTAATTTGGTGGAGATTTAAGTATATGATAAATAATGTCATGCAATGCAGTGTAAATAAAACATAAAATTCAAGGAAAGAGAACAAAACAAAAACCCACCTGGCCCTGCGGAGGGCTGAGAAGTCAGTTTCTGTCGCTCTGATAAATCACAGTAAATATTCTCACAAACAACTGGAACTCAGCAATAAACATAATTGCATTTGGTAAGTGGCCTCTGTGGGTGGCGGTTGCAGAGAGGTTGTGATTGGATTTGTGTTTGCAGTCACATTGCTCCCAGCGTGGAACACTCGTGCCTGGCTGGCTCAGAGGATCCACCAGAGCCCTGGTGCTGGCTAAACGCCCTGTGACTTTTCACCTTTGCACAGGTTCTGCAGTGGCAGCTGCCAAAGCGACATCCCAGCTGCACCCAGTACCGCAGCAGCGAGCTGGGAGGATGGTGATGGAATCCAGCCAGGTGGGACTGCCTTCCTCAGGAGAAGGTCATTGGCAGTGTGGAACCGAGGGAGATAAGGATTGTCTTCTGTAAAATGGATAACAACATGTAGCAAATCAAAATATTTCTACTCTTACTCTGTAAGACATAAGAGAATTGGGTCAGTTCCACTCAGGGATATTTTATATCCTCTGTCCCATTTGGCATAAGAGATTCCTTTTTTTATAGAGAAGCTGTAGTTTAACATTGGGATGCTGTTGTATATAACAAAAGGCAAATTTTGGTATTTACCACATACATCCACCTCCTTTCCTTTTTTTGTTGTTTCCTAAACACATGTGGATAATTTTATATGAAAGACATTATTTTCTTATCCCAATTTTATTGTACACGTACTGTAGCAAATGCTGCTCACGTGTGAACTATTTTGTCCAGATCTCTTCCTGTATTAAAAGACTTATATAATCGTATTGAGAGAAAGCATTTAGAGATCTGTAATCCACTGGTCTTACTGAATGACTTTTTACATAATGAAAATCTGTGAAGGGTAAATATGTTGACTAGGAGTTCCATTAGCACTTAAATAGAAGGCATTTCTGGAAAGCAAACATAAACAATACAAACCTTCCAGAGAAGGAAAAGCAAGCCTGTAACCAATCCTCTCTACAAACAATAAGCACATGTTTAATTTTTAATCTGAGTGCTAATTACATCAGTCATTTAGTCCACTTTTAAATAATTGCATTACTGTAAAAAATATTTTCATACTTACATGAAGAATTTTGAAACTAATTTTATTTTTATTCTTAGTGCTGAAGTTTGATGTTACATTGTTTGCAAAATCAGAAGAATCACTTTAATTATGATCCTGTGTTCCTAAACTAGAAAACAGTGTAATGGGTTTTTATGGTGATAGACTGGAAATCCTGGAATGAAATTACAAATTGCTGGATTTAACAAACTCAGTTCTGATGGTTTGATACAACTGTTGATCATTGCTGCTACCAAAAGCACAGGACCAAGTTTCACACTCCTTAGGCTGTGTAAATATTTTGTTAAGTAAATGCCAGCTTTGCTGGCTGAAAGAGACAGAGTTTGGATCCTAACACAAGGAGAATCCAATTGTTAGTCCTGTCTAGTCTGGCTTTCAGGTTGTCCAGGCCAATGGTTCTGTACTTAACACTGGACAACCAGGCTGAAGGCAGAATCACCTGTTAGCCTAAATGTTACTGGAGCTCTTTCCTAAGGCAGGGATTTCCTGGTTTTTGAGACTGTTGCTTCCCTGGCAGTATAAGCTACATCATTATTTAATTTGGGAGCTTGAGAAGGGTGTGTTTATGTTAACAAACTAATGAGACAGCTTAGCACATTACTTTTATTACTGTGGTTGAAACAGGAAGTTTAGTTTAGAAGAGCTTACTACAGATAAGCTCTATTAATATTCCAGCTTTTCAAAGAGTCATAGAATGGTTTGAGTTGGAAGAGACCTTAAAGATCATCTGGTTTCAACCCCTGCCATGGGCAAGGACACATTCCACCAGACCAGATTGTGCCAAGCCCTGTCCAGCCTGGCCTCAAACATTTCCAGGGATGGGGCAGCCTGAGCAGCCTGTGCCAGGGCCTCACTGCCCTCAGGGAACAATTTCTTCCAGAATCTCATCCGAGCCAGCTCCGTCAGTGTGAAGCTGTTCCCCCTTGTGACTCCATCCCTTGTAAATAGGCTCTCTCCATCTTTCTTGCAGGCTCCCTTCAGGCACTGGAAGGGCACAATTAGGTCACCCCAAAGTTTGTCTTCTGCTGGCTGAGCAATCCCAGTTCTCCCAGCCTTTCCTCACAGCAGAGGTGCTTTATCCCTCTGATCAACTGTGTGGCCTCCTTTGACAGATTTTATTTGAATTACTGCTGCAAGCAAACCAGTAAGTTATAAGGAAGTACTTTATTTTAAGTTAAATAAATAGTGACAGTAACAGGTTTGCATTATTCAAAGTGTAGAAAATACCACCCATGCACAGGCAAAACCAGTGTAATTCAAGTCAGGAGTAAGATTTTACTATACAGCAAATTTAATATGTGTATTCTGTGAATAAAGACAAAAGAGCTGAAGTAGATCAACACTGATATTAATTAAGCAATGACCATATTCTCCTGGACTATAATTACATTCTCACCAATCAGCATGAGAGTATGTGCTTTTTTCATCATGGTGTTTCAATATAGAACATTTTGAAGTATGAATTCCCATTTTTCACTTACAAAGTAGCATTTCCAGTCTCCTTCCAGTTGCATTCCAGTAGGAGGAAAAAATGAAGACCGCAAATCTATATCTCTATTTCTTAATTTAAAGGAAGCCTCTGTACTTTTGGGCAATGGAGGTTTCATTTAGTTTTGGTTTTGTGCAGTGTCGTGCCAAACTCTGTCACATGGAACAAACACGTGTAGGAGACGAGTGGCAGCACTTTATCCATGTAGACAGTGCCAATCCTCTGTTACAATTCTACTTAATCTATTGATTTCAGATAGGCTAAATGTAAGATGTACAGATTTTTATGAACATACTAATGATGAATTGATTTGCAGCCAGCTTTGTCTTAAGATTTGAAAATTCTTTTTCCAAGGCCAATCCTTTAAATATTAATTGTATGCATATTCATAATAAAGCAAGACTTACATACTTAAAGGCTATTTATATTAATTCTTTGAGTCCTATATTAAAAAATCCAAGTAAAAAACCAAAACTGCAATGGACTGAAAATGTAACAGTTTAACAACCCACTGAGGCTTGCTTTCAAAAATGACCTATTCTTAAAAATTCTCCTACACAACTAAGCATGGATAAACTGTTTATCTATGGTTAGGTATGTGGGAGATACCGACCGAGATAAAAGATAATGAATGTTGTCATTGTTACCATTTACTTAGCCACCAGAAAACAGACTTGCATTCATGACTTGGGGGTTTGAGAACATGTGGTTAAATGGTCTGATTTCAAGGTTTATGGAGTTTTCAGAAGCACAGAATAAAGCCCAATGTCTTCTCTACCTTCCTGTGAACTAAGTGAGCATGCAAAATTGAAAACATCCACAGGTCCTTAATGACAAGAGGTGGCAATCCAAATAGGTACATTCTTCTGCAGCTTTTGCTGTATTTTCCTTAAATATGTTTATTTATTGTGGTTGTGAACACTCAGCAATTACACCTTGTCTAGGCAGGCTGGAACTGTAGCACCGATAAATGCAGACCTGGCTTTGTTAGAAAGCTGTCAGGGATCTCTATAGACATAGATCAACTACACATAAAACATATTCTATGGAATGAGTGAAACACAGCAGAAAGGAATGTGGAGTTGTCTTGGAACACTCTGAATTCCTGAGAGAATGGATTTAGACTGGACCAATAGGCAGAGCTCACATTATCCTTCAACAGGATAATCTATAGCTTTGAATTCAGGCCTCCCCTTACTATTTTTTTCCTCACTTACAAGTGAACAGATTCAAATACACTTCCCCCCTCCCCCCCAATCCAGTTAAGTTTTAAAGAACAAATTGCTGCAGTTTTTTGAAGTATGTTTAGTTCTTAACGTAAAAATATTTTAAAATATTAGGTGTTTGTGCATGTTGTCAATTTTATTTAACAAGCATGAAGACTGTTCACAAAACATGTCTGATTATTACTTTTTGATCATGTTCCTGTAATAATCAATGAAGAAAAATGACTTCTTAAACCCCCAGTATTTTGGGGTCTTTATATTTGGCTGTGGAGTGCCCCATACACCTATGGCACTGTAGCACATCTACCAAGCATTCCTGAACGGACAGTGTTTGTTCACAGCACTAGAAGGTATTTCCCAAAGTAAATAATAAATACCGTAACACATAAATCCTTTTTACAAAATACTGTAAAGTTTCTCTGCTAAGTAAGTGTCTGTTCCCAGAGTTTTATATTTAAATGTTGACAATTCCATAGAGAAGCACTTGAAAATTTTATGCTGTTGCACTTCCCTTCCAGAACTGTAGTGTTATCAATCCTACAGGCTTCCTGTTTCCCAGATGATTAATCAGACATGACTGAGATATGAAACTGAGACACATTTTTAGCTTTGTCTGGATTTCTGCAATTTGGGAGCTTGAAGAAATGTGGCTGTATACATACAAGCATCAGTCCCTCCCTGTCAAGAGGAGAGGGGATCCCATTCGGAAAGTCTGCTTGTATCTCTTTGCTAAAATCTATTTTCCCATGTTACTGCATCTGCTGTGGGTAGATTCATTGCTCCTGTTTTCATAGTTAATCACGGAGTACAAATTGCTGCTTCAGAAAGAAAAATCAGAATCAGTAGCAAGAATAAGTCTTTCTGCAGGGAAAGATAAAACCATGGTAAATGTGAATGAAAACCATGAGGCTTGCTAGTATGTTTTGGAATATGCAACTCTCCCTTTTTTCTCTCTGTATTTGGAAAGCAATTAGTCATTGACATATGCTGTGCCAATTCGTGCAACTGGGTTCCCTACAATCCAGTCTAAATCAACAAACAGTACTTGGTATCAAACATCGTTCCGTTTTCTCCTCCCTCCCTAACCATTAACTTATTTAAAATAGAGGTTGGCTGCATTATTTTATTGGGGTTTTCATCCTTACCCCTTTCCTCTGCTCAAGAAATACATTTTGTATTTGATAGAAAATAAGAAGTATTCTATTCACTTGGTCAGACAAAACACCCATGTTAGCTATCAAATTTATGTTACCCTCTAATACTGTAAACAGTGACCAGCAGCAAACACCAGAACCTAGTGAAGAATAAAAACCACAGGCTTCTGAGAATAGTGACCTATTAATAGCAGGCAAATCCCTGTTACAGCCAGTAGTGATAATACCCTGATATTTCGCTTAACTGTTACAAGTCCAGTAAACGAAGACATTCTGTTCTGCAGGCTGATTCACATCCCTTTTTCTTCAAAAAGCATGAAGAAACAAATAGTGCATTTTAGGCTATCCAGAGGCAAAAGTTCTGCTTTGTTCTTTCAAGTGTTCGTTTAAAATTCTCAGCTCATCCAAGTAACACACTTTGGAAGTGAAGGTGAGGCATGAAACACTCCAGAGAAGGCTGGAGAGGGGTCGCTCGTGTCAGAGCGTGCACCACCCTAAGACAGTTTTACCACACACACTGCCAGGACAATAGCGATAATGAGCACAGCAGTGAAAATAATCCCAGCTAGAACCTTGCTGATATCGCAGAAGGATTTATTTTCCTCCACAGAGATCATGCCAATAGAGGAAGCGCCCACGCTGATGGTGGATTTCAGTTCAGCCCCTGGGTCTTGCTTAGCCTCTACTGTCCACTGGGGGACATTGACCTTCATCTCCATCTCGTACATCATCTCTCCTACCTGGTTGATCTCGTTCTCGAGGTCTTTCAAATCCACCACGTCTATGTTGTGCTCAGCCTCGTATTTCATGTTCTGGACACTCATGGCGCGGGCGGCCACGCCGGAGGTTCCCCCGCTCATGCCCGTCTGGATCAGGTGTTTTTTGGGGACGTTCAGCGGGAACTCGTGGCCCAGCTCCAGGGCTCTCCTCATATCGATCTCCAGGATCTCTAGGCACGTGGAGAAAATCACCCATAGCCTCTCGAACTCGGCTTTATCTTCCTTACTCACGGTTTTGTCCTTCAGGACCGTGGTGAGCTTGTTCCTGTTGGCCACCGCCAGCTCCTGAGCTTTCTGCCGGGTTTTCTTGAGCTCCTCCCGCAGGTTCTGGGAGTCCGAGGTGCCGCCGATGGTCAGCACCATGTGCCGGTAGCAGGCGGTCACCTTGTTGAGCGCGTCCAGCAGCGCCTTGCACTCCTCCTTCACCATGGTGGCGGCGGGGGCCGTGCCCGGTGCCGCCCTGCCCGGTGCCGCCCTGCCTTACCCGGAGCCGGGCCCCGGCCGCTGCCACAGCCGGGAGCTACCAGCACACATGGCAAGCGCTGCCTCCGGGTCGGGCCTGCATCCAGCACCCCGTTAGCCGCTGGTCAGGCGGCTCCGGGAGCCCGGGCGGGCGGCGGGGAGCCCGGGCGGGCGGGCAGCATCGCTCCCCGCGCCGCCGCCGCCTGCAGCGCCACCGGGGCGGCTCGCTCCGCGCCGCGCTCAGCGGGGCGCTGCTGTTTGAAAAGTGCCAAACGCCGGGGGTGGAGGAGAAAAAAATAAGAAATCAAAAAAGCCAAGGCTAGAGCTCTGGGGAGCGGCTGCCGGGCAGCCGGCGGTCCCCGCCGCCGCCACTTAACTCGCCCCAGCTGGGCGCCCGCGCGGTCACATGGGGGCAGCGCCCGGCCCGGCCCTATAAGCCCTCGCAGGCTCCGCCTCCGCAGGCAGCGATCCCGCGGTGCTCCCAGCGCTTCGCCCGCTCCCTCCCGCCTCTGCCCAGCCATTGGCTTCGTGCGGCCGCGCCGGGCCCGCCCTGGACCCCGGTAGGGCTTGGCCGGGGCGTGCAGCGGCCGGGGAGGCGGGCGGCAGCGGCTCCGCGGCCGGGGAGGCGATGGTGTCGGTGTGAGTAGCGCTCCCGCCCCGGGCAGCCTGCGGCTCCCGCTGGGACCGTCCCGCCGCGGTGGGAGCGGGGAGCGCTCCCGGCCCGCCGTGCCGTGCCCCGGGAGCTGCTCGGCTGCGGCCTGGGCGGCGGCGGGGCCGTGCCCGCTCGGCCTTGGCCCGGGCCGGAGAGCGGCGGCGTCGGGCCGTGCGGACACATGGCCCCGGTCAGTGACCGCCGCGGCAGGGTCGGTCCCCGCCGTGTTGAACCCCGCTGGGCATGGCAGGCTGGTCTTGCCCGGCCCCCCGGCTGTCCCGTGTGTCGCAGACACGCCGGGACCCGGCTGGGGATGGAGCTCGCTGCTGTTCTCATCCGTAGGAAGGGCCGGTGTGCGTTCCGGGACACCTGCAGTTAGCTCGGGTCAGGCCGTGGCACGTCAGGGAGTGCAGGAAGCAGCAGTGTGTCCCTGTCAGAAGCGATGCTCCGCCGGCTGCCCTTGGCAGCTCTGCCGGGCACTAGGCCGTGCTCGCCTCGCTGGAGGTGATGGAGTGCTGCTCCGAGACCTGAGCTCCGCTGTCTCTGGCACCTGGTGTGCCTGCTGAAGTGGGCTTCGGGAAAGCTTGCTTGTCACGATATATGCTGCCACATACACCCCAACATTTGTGGGGAGCTGAGTGGTTTTGTGATGCTACAGTAGCCTGAAAAAGCTGTGAAGCCACAGAAGTCCCACAAGAAGGGGAGTGTGACCCAATCCCTTATCTTTGATCACTGCCTTTGCAGGGCAGTGTGTGTTATGAGCAAGATAATTTGCTAAGAGGAACAGAGTCCAGGCAGACTGGCTTTCTGCTGCTAAGCCCAGCTTGAAAAGTTGTCTAGCCTATGTTCCTCTTCCTGGATTTTGGTAGCTTGGACTCCACTCACTGGGGTTTTTTTGTTTGTTTTATCTTGCTTTAATTTTGGCCCTAGTTACAAAACCTGTGTAGCTTCCTGCTGCAGGTTACTTACTACCTGTGGAAGAAATGGTCTCTTACCTTTTATGTAGATTATCAAGTTACTACCAACTAAACCGAATAGCTCTGTCAATTTGCATGTTGGTAGCCTAGAAGAAGCAAATCACTCATGCCTGTTCCTTTGTAGGAATAAAGAAACAGGATGATTTTGATCTGATTGTAAGTGAAGTCTTGTAATTGCCTAATCATTGTCAGGTGGAAAAAGGATTAGCTCTGGGTTTGGAGCTGGAGTCCTATGTGACATTAGTGTCAAGCTTATTGCTGACTAAATTATGCATGTTTGTGTGTCTGTTTTAGCTGTTTTTAAAGTCTGCCACAGAGCACTGAAGTTATGTGAGAATCTGGAAGCCACTTCTGCAGATGTGTCTGGGAAGGGGAGAGAGGGAGGATTGGTTCAGAAACATGTGACTATTTAAATCTGAAGGTAGCAGCAGTCATAATCTGTATCAGGTAATACTTATGTACATCTTTAGGTGTGTCATGTGGGAAGAGCCTGTTATTTAGATTACTTCTAATTTAAGTTCAGCTGCATGCAGTTACAACTTGCTTAGATTGTGGGAACTCTTAAAATTCAGTTGTTTGTCAGTCAGGCACGATGTTCTGAAAATCCAAATCTTGATACTGCTTTCAAACAAGATGCTGACTAGCAAAAATACTGTCCTGGGAAAACTATTAGGATGGAGGTAAAAATCCTTAGAACTGACTTAGGAAGCAGCATAATGAGTAGTAGAAAAAATGCATTTCCTGATTCTGTGGCAAGGCTTTCTTGCAATAGATGTTAATGATCGTATTCTTCCTGTACAGTACTCTTAAAGCTGTTTGCAAAGTATTCTGTGATGCATCTTGAATATCACTAATTAAATGTTATAGCCTCATTTTAATAATTTTAAGTAGAATTTTAGGTTAATGCAGGTTTGTTTTGCTTTAATGGTTGGTGAGTGTTGTCTGAGGGACTTGTTTTTAGAGTAAGCTTATAGACTAAGTTTGGTTGGTAGACTGCTATGGCTTAGCAAAGCTTGAAGCCACTATGAGATGAAGAAGGAAAGTAAGGATGAAATACAGTGAAAATAAAATGTTTTATCAACCCCTTCCCTCTCCCTGATCACTGATAAATTGTGAATTCTTTGAATTCTGTGATTGGGTTTTTGCTTGTTGTGGTGAGAGAATTTGATCCATAGGAAAAGTCTTAATTTATATTATGGGGGAATGTTAGACTGATACTTGTGTATCATGATGTTTACTTTCAGGAAGCTCTTAATTAGCTGAGGCTGTTACGTGTTGCATTGTGTAGTATTTATAACACCAGTAGTGGTTAAAGCAATTTATTTTGCTAGTTAGAGCTTAACTGCTGAATTGTTTTCCAGCCTTCTTACCCTTGCACTGCTGCCTAAATAGATGAAAACATTTGATTTAAGTAAACCTCTGTATATTTCAACTCCATAAGAATTTACCCCCTGCCAAAGAAGGGGAGTGAAGTACCAAATTGCTGAAACCTCTGAGAGCCTGAGGAGGAGGTGACCTTAAATACAGCTCACTGGTATTTGAAGGAAGCATCCTTCTTTGAGAAGCGTTTGAGAAGCTGTTGTGTTTGCTGTTAATGTTCTCCCTCTAAGTGTTCCTTGTAACTGTTGGTGGTTCACTGAACAGCACTTGCACTTTGTTCCAGGGCTTGCTTGGAGTAGCTCAGGGCTGCCCATCAGAGAATGTTAATACAGCTTCAGTAGTGGCAAGCCAAAGGGTGAAACTTCTTTGCAGCCACTCTGATGGACTTCTAAACCTGTGAGAATTGGAAATCTAGGCTCTGCCTCTTGTGAAAAGAGGATGCAGCTGCTTCCTGATGCTTGGCTAATGACAAGCAAGGTGTGTTTGAATATGTTGAAGTAACTGGGCAGAAGTTGGAAGCTCAGCTGTTGAAGGGTCCACACATATTGGAATGTGCTTCCCCTGGAGGAAAGGAACAAGCGATGGGGGAGACTCCAGCCCCCAAGTCTGGGACAAGTAAGGATGTGCCCACATCAAACAACAGTGCAAATGCACTGCTAAAATATAAAGAGTGAGCCTTCTCACCACTTCTGACGACTGAGCTCTGTTCTGGAGTTGGAGGTGGGGCTCGTGAGAAGCTGCACAAGGATCTGGTACAGCCCTGTGTGCTCAGTACTGCTGCAGGCTCTGGGAGATGCCTGTCCAAGGACGTGGAGCAGTGGTAGCAAGGCCAGAGCTGCCAGGCTTAGAAAAGGCTTGGAAGGTGTTGGATAGAGGAAAAACCCAAGGCAGGAGATCCCATGCCAGCTCTTCACCCTTCAGTGAAAGAAATGTGTGCCTGGAAGGGAAATGCTGCGAGAAATTAGCATCTTCCTGGAGTGCTCATGACCCCTCCTTTCCAGATTCTGTTCCATTGCTGTCAGGCTGATGTTCTGGGATGACAAAACTTAGTTTTTCACTGGTTGCTTGTAAGCCTTGAGCTGACTGATGTGAGTTCACCACTCTATAATGTGATAATTCAAAGGTGCTACTCTTGCATATTTCCATTTCACAAAAGTCAGTACAAGCTGAATCTGAATCTGGAAGGGGTAGAAATAGATTTACTTATTTATTCCTTCATGGTGACCAAGGCCTACTGGAAAGTGTCAAGTGTTTTTCACAGAGTGCTCAACGCTCATCCTTTACAGTTTTTAAATGCTCAGAAAAAGAAATTATCTCCTGTTTTTGCTTTGAGGTAAGTGCTGATGCAGGGCTAAAGGTCAGATTGTAACTTTTGCCCAGAAGCAGAGCAACCAAGGAGTAATAGTGCTGTAAAACAGGAGCTGGAGTGGTAACTTGAATATTTGGCCTGAGTCTATTTAAATTCCACTGTTAGATTCCCGTTTGCTTGTCAAGAGCTCTAAGATATGCTTACCTTTGGCTGTTCCTTCTAACAAGTGGTGCTCTTAAGGTGTGCGGGGGAAGCACTTGTGTTAAAAAAACCCTTAACTTAGAACTGGGGAGCAATTGCTTTCTTTTACTTTTTTTTCCTTTTTTATGGAGCTGTGTAGTTGCTAGAATAATACATTTCTGATAAAGTTTGTATGTGTATTTATCTGCTACTCTGAGATAAAAATCTTTTAGTTGAGTAATGAGTTGGTCCTCACTCATTATATTGAGCACTTCAGCAAATACCAGGTTACTGGATTACTAAGCCTTAGTTGTTCCTCTTTTAGCTGTTGGGAGCTGAAGTAAAGTTGATGTTATCACATGAAACTTCACAACATTGGTAAACTAAAATGGAGTGAATTTATGCTTCTTGCCATGCTAATGGATCTGGTGTTGAAGTTTGGAGAACTTGGCATTCTGTTCCTTTGAAGCTGGATGTGTGTGGAGAGGACACTGAGGTACTTGGTGTTAGTATCCCTGTGTAGCATCCTAACTTGCTGTCCTGGAGACAACTGAGGTTACTGAACTTGGCTATAATTTTTACTGACTTTGGTAGCTGTTTTTACTTTGTTCTGCTAAATTATTATTAAAATGCCATGGTAAAAACACAGAAAATGATGCTGCTCAGCGTTGACTATGTAGTGTTTGTATACACCATCCCTCATGCTGTTATGAAAGATGTTTTCCCTTCAGCATGCTTTGATTAGTATTTAGTAGGGATGTAGCAGGATGTTCAGAAGATGATGAGGCTAAGGTTTTAGTAAGTAGTTGTACAAGTTGAATGTGGACAGGAGGTAGCTGCTAAGTAACAATGCAAATACAATGACATCATCCACTTTCATGGCTGTTTGTCTCAATTTCAAAGTACTTCTTAAAAGGAACTGATATCTGCAAGCTCTGGAAAAGCTTCCTCACTTGTCCATCTCTAAAGGAAAACACCATCGATGAGAGAATGAACTGTCAGAATTTATTCCTATGAACTGTTTTCACTACCAAAGGTAATTAGGCCTCTTTTCCAGTGTTTTAGAGAAAACGGTGGCATGCTTAGGTTCCATGGTTTTCACTTGAGCTCTCCTTTGTACCATAATTTGTCATTAGAATTATCACTCTTCTTTTGATCTAGAAAGGATTAGCCTGTTGCAAGATTATTATTATAGTTCTTTTTTAAACTGTAACATAATGCTTATTAGATTGTCTGATCCTGCTAGCTTCTGTTCTTCCAGCAATTTGAGCTATTTCTGTGTTTGCAGGCATGAAGCCATACACTGAAGTGATTCCATTTAAACCTTTTATATAACATTAGTGCTTGAGTATTGCTTTGCTGCTCAGCATGATAGATTTTGGTAAACTTCATAGTGAATATAGATGACAGTTCTTAATGAGTGTTCTGTTAAGCATTAATCAGTTCTGGTAATGTATGTAGGGTTTTGTGCGTTTTCTGTTTTCACTGTGAAGCTAAAGCTGTCCACGGTGCAGCTAGAGGAGTAAGTCTGTGTCACCCCCAAGTTAAATTAGGTTGAAGCTGGATGTTGTGTTCTGCCAACAAACTCTTAATGGAGAATTCTAATGTGTTCCTAGAATTATAGGAATGCATTAGCCAGTATTTTCAGATGCATTTAACTTTTGGGGTGGAAAGAAATTGACTTAATCTCAAAAATGCCTGTGCTTTGGGGAAGCTTTAATGTACTCTCTTGAATCTTTGGACTAAATTCCTTTGGTTTGGTTTTTCTTGATGACTTAAATTACTTCTACATCCACACTTCTGTCTCTCTGGAGAATGCTGTGGGAAGGTGATGGAGGGCTAAGTGAATACAGTGACTGTTTTAGGTAATAAGTATTCCACCTGTTGTTTTTCGTAGCCACATTTTAATCAGATGTGATACCTAACCCCTAATGAGGCACTGAACAGCTGCAGGGGTGAGGGAGAGGAAAAGGGAAGGAAATGGAGTTGTGATTCTCAAAACAGTACCAATGTGGCCAGTGGGGGTTGTTTCCTGCTGTGCTGAAGATGCATGCAGGGAGCAGTGCAGAGCTCCCATCTGCTCTGCTCAAGGAGGGTGACAAACACCCCTGTGAACTAGAAATTTACCTTCCTTCCTGGGGTGGAGCACATCTGTGGCACCTTAGGTGTATTACAGTAACTGAAATGCCACAATTCAATGTTTGAATGCAGCTCCTTTTCACTCCTTGCTGGAGTTCCAAGTGTGATTCAGCCCTGTCAGTAGTTTTGTAGTAAACGAATCTATGGCTGCTACTAAGAATCTGTGGCTGCTCATCACTAGTTATTTGTGTGTGTAACTCATGAACTGGAAACTGAAGATGATAATTTCAAGCTCTTCATATGATGGTCCATCAGTAATGATTCTTAAAGCACTCCAATTGCTTTTTTTTTTCCCCCCAGATATAGGTAGTGTTTTAAGAGGTCAGACAGCAAGCTTAATGAGGTCAGGCTTTCTGTGGGAGTTTTTCCTCCTCACATAAATTTCTTATACCTTTTATGCTAGGGAATATGCTTAAATTTTGGTTGGAGTTTTTTTGATGATGAGGAGGATTTATGGTATGTGTTCTCTTCCCCTCCCGTTATGGGAAGACGTCTTTGGACTTGAAGATTTGTTAGGCTGAAAGACTGGCAATAAAGCTGTTGGAGACATTTGTGCTCTGCAGTTTTAGCACTGCAGTCTGATGCTTGGTTGCCTCCTTGTGTCAATATGCTTTTTCCCCTGACAGTATGTGGTGTGTTAACAGCTTCTCCATCGCTGTCTTGGGGAGGATCTCAGCATGCTCATCTTCTGCTGCTTGGACAAATACATGAATTCACCAGACTAAAGGCAGATGAAAGTGCCTCAGTGGGACAACTGCATTAATGAAAGCCTGGTTTGGAAAGTGTCTCTAAAGACCATGTCATCCACCCTCCCAGCTTTGCTTTGTCCACTGTCACCTCTAGTAGAGGTCTGTCTGACACATTCTTGGAGATTTACAGCATGAGAGACTTGATAGCTTTGCCAAGCAATGTAAACCATGTGCTTACCGCCAAACTAAAGGCAGATGAAAGTGTCTCAGTGGGACAACTGCATTAATGAAAAAGCTGATTTGGAAAGTGTCTCAAAAGACCATGTCATCCCTCCTCCCAGCTTTGCTATGTCCACTGTCACCTCTAGTAGAGGTTTGTCTGACACATTCTTGGAGATTTACAGCATGAGAGACTTGATAGCTTTGCCAAGCAATGTAAACCATGTGCTTACCTTCCCTTTTGGAAGGTGTTCCTGATCTGTTACCTGAGCCTGTTTTCTTCAGTTAAGACCTACTTCTTCGATGTGGGAAAAAATGCCCTTCACTGACAGCTTGATCTGCCTGTGTGGCAGAAAAAAATCCTTACATGCTTCATACAGTTTCTTAGTTATAAACATCACTGCTTTCCATGGATTGGATTCTGCTTACAAGGCTCCTTTGCCTTTCAGATGTGGGAAAAAATGCCTTTCACTGACAGCTTGATCTGCCTGTGTGGAAAAAAATCATTACATGCTTCATACAGTTTCTTAGTTATAAACATCACTGCTTTCCATGGATTGGATTCTGCTTACAAGGCTCCTTTGCCTTTCTCACTTCAGGCTCTGCTCCAGTCAGTTTATCTGCTGTGATGAGGGCAGGAACATCAAAAACCATCAAAAAAAGCATGTGGAACTCTCAAGTCTTGCTGTGGCAAACTATTTTGCAGGTTGCACATGTGTATACATACAGCCCTGCTTGGTGCTTGACTTACACTAAATTGTTTTTAATTATATATATTACTAATTAACTGAGTCACGTTTGGTCTGCAAGCTGCAGTCATTAAGACTTAGTTGGGATTGTGGCCAGGCCAGATGTTTAGCAGGCAGGGTTTTTTGTAGCTAACTTGTCCTGCCCTTGGTGTGGCTCAGCAGTCTGTGTTCCTGCAGCAGACCTGCCACAGGGCTTGTGCTGCCTCTGCTCTTCCCTCTGCACTGGCTGAGGAAGGAGCCCACAGCTTGGACTTGGATTGCAGCTACCTGCCAAGAAATCTTTATAGTAATCATAAACCAGTGGAATTACTGGTGATCATCCTGTTTACCCAGACACTGTGATAGAACAGATCAGGGATTATAGAATTGGTTGGTCTGGGTTGGAAGGGACCTTAAAGCCCATCTTGTTCCACCCCTGGCTATGGGCAGGGACACCTTCTACCAGAGCTGTCCAGCCTGGCCTTGGACACTCCAGGGATGGGACAGCCACAGCTGCTGTGCCGGGGCCTCAGCACCCTCACAGGGAGGAATTTCTTCTGTACATTTAATACAAATCACCCTCTTTTAGTGGGAAGCCCTTGCCCTTGTGCTGTCACTTCAGGCCCTTGTTCGAAGCCTCTCTGCAGCCCATTTAGGTACTGGAGTGTGCAATAAGGTCACCCTGGAGCCTTCTCTCCTCCAGGCTGAACCCCCCACCTCTCTTGGTCTGTCTCCAGAGCAGAGGGGCTCCAGCCCTTGGAGCATCTTTGTGCCCCTCCTCTGGACTTGCTGCAGCAGCTCCATGTCCTTGTGCTGGAACTCCAGGTCTGGAGGCAGCTCTGCAGGAGGGTCTCACCTGAGCAGGGCAGAGGGACAGATTCTCCTCCCTGACCTGCTGCCCATGCAGGGGGATGAGCCCAGGACGTGGTTGGTCTTGGGGCCAACTCTGCTTGTGCCTGGTCAGGGGAAGGACCAGAGCCCAGCTCAGTTAGCAGGCTGAAACGCAAGGGCTATCTGCATGGAATCCATGGGAATTGGGTAATGTTTTTCCACCCCCTTCAGCTGCCATACAGTGAGCTCACACTGAGCAAATGATGTGCTAGGAATAATTCTGCATTGGAGGAAACAAGGGGATCCTGACTGTGTGAGGGTGGTGTGCTCAAGTTAAAGTCTCTAGCTGTGCTCACCCTTTCTGGCTATGTACAGCTGGAATTGCATGAGGAAATCCTGCAACTTCTGTTGATTGCTAAGGAAACCTGCACGACTGGAAAGCTAGAATAAGCTTGTTATTTAAGCAGTTGTATGCTTGTTAGTCTCAATTCTTGTTAAAAAAATCTGAAGTTATTCCAGGACCTGTTAGGGTTTTTCCTGCCCTTGTGTATGATGTGTTACAGAGAATTGGAATTGAGGAAGCCAGCAGGTGAAAGTCTGATTCCTTAGGGGGATCATCTTCTCCAGGGCACTGTGACACCTACTGACAGCATTTCCAATGTTTACAGGTTGGATTTTCACTCTCCAGTTGCTCTTTTGCTCTGTTTAGCCCAATGTTACTTAGCAACCTGACCTCAAATCACTGAGACTCTTTTCACAGGAGTAGAGATGACCGCAAATTATGATAAATTTCACGGTGGCTTTTTAATTATGGCATGGATATTCATATCCCCTTGTTGTACCTCTCTAAACTTTCCCTGGAAAGTTGAGGATTGCCTTACATGAGGGTTTCTGTTACACTGTCTGGGTGTCTCAGTGGTGTGTGTGAGTAATCCTTATACAGGTGAGTGTTAAGACTTACCTGAGCACAGTGCAAAGGCATCAATGTCCCGTGGTGCAGTAGAGTCTGCTGTGAGCAGGCTGTTAACTTGTCTCTTGGCTTTAGATCTCAGCAGGAGAAGTTAGTTTGTATATCAAAGTGGTAATAATTTGGATCTTAACTGCTCCTCTCTGATATTCACAGTTAGACTCCAGTACCTGGAAGGCCTAAGGAGACATTGATGATAACTGTGCGATGGAAATGTATAATCATGAAAAATATTCTGTGTGAATAACTTCTAATAGTAGTTAAGCAATGCCATTGGCTGCTTATCTCAGGATATTTCATGCTTTATCCTTTTGCTTTGTACAAAAGGATAAAGCATGAAACTGCTTTATCCTTTTGTACAAAAAGAGTCAGAGTGCCCCTAGGTATTCCCAAATATCATGTTTTAACAGATACCATGTATGATACATCAGCCATTCTCCATATGTATTTTAGAACATCTCCTTGGAATGTCTGAAGTCCATATGGCTATGTATGATGAAGATATCTTGAAAAATCCCTTTTATTTGGCCATTCAGAAGCGACGTCCTGATCTATGCAGCAAAGTTGCAGAACTCCATGGTATTGTAAGTATGAAAGAGTATATTTAAAAGCTGCTTAGTAAGTAGTAGTGATTTGAATTTATATCATATCTGCTATGAAACATGTAAAGATTATTTGAAGCCTACAAAACTTGGAAATGAAGCAGAACAATTTTTAGTTCAAGTTGCACATTATCTACTAATATGGACCTTTTTATATTTTGCAAGATAGTAAAAAGCTTGTAAGGTTGATGTTGTTTCTGAACCCTACAGGAAACTTACTTTATTTTCTATGAACTGATGTTACAAATTCTCCCAAAAGTTTCTAACTTAAATGGATTGACCTTTTGAGATACCTGGTGGACAAGCAGTTACTCATTTGACAGCATTTTACATAGCAAAATAAAGCTATTAAACTGACCTGGAATAAAAACTCCAGTCCTTAATATTTACTAATCTGAGTATTTTGCAATTAATTTTCATTCACAATTAACTCCATTAAACATGGAGGTTATTGTCACCTGATGATATAATTTGTTTCTTTCTAATTAAGAATTTGCCCCAAATTGCCAATCTCTTGGCCTAAACCCAAGATATTTGTTAGATCTTTTTATTTCAGATGCATTTTTGAGTTTGAATATATGCTTCACTTTTTTATTACCTGCTTAATTTTAAGTCATCTGTTGCCATTTGAAGTTATTTGTGACTGGTGCTAAGTAACTGAAGATTTAATTTACTTCCCTTAGTATTGTTTGCTTCAGTTGCACGTCAGCCTTTTTTTCAGATAAGTTACTAAGTGAAATTTCTGGGTTAATTATCAGACTGCGTGTCTAGTGATAACCTCTCCTTTTTTTTAAAAATAAAAGCACCTACGGTTCTTGTATGTTTACTGTAAGTATTTAAAAGCCTGATTTAATTGCTTGCCTCTTAAGGACAAAAGGTACTGATGTATAGCTGGCAATACTCAGCATTTCTCTCTTAAACATGATTTAACTTTTTTTAGGTGCTAGTTCCATGCAAAGGAAGCCTTTCAAGCAACAGTCTTTCATCCTGCCAGTTTGAATCTTATGTTCTGAAGCCTCTGGAAGAAAATTTTCAAACCTTAAATGGAAAGGTATTTCTGTTTGATATCTGCATGTAGCTTGGGGACACTCCAGTAAGTGATTCACTGCTGCTGGCTGGCTGTGTGAACTAATGGTTACAGACAAGGCAAGCAGGGCTGACACTGCAGAGGATCCCAGGTTTTTCATTTGTAAGTTTGCAGTACAGTCAGAGAACTTGGGCACACAGCTTGCACTAGGGATAGTTTGCAGGCTGCCATCAGGATTTTCCTGTTCCAGATGTCCTCACTGGAGCTGCTGGGAAAAGAAAACCAGGTGTGAGAAATACACATAAGGTGTGGGGTATTTTTGAGGCTGGGATTAAGTACTGATCTTAAGCTGTTGGGATTTTAAAATTTCCTTGCTACTAAAAGTGCTCTAAAATCTGAAAACAAGACCGTGGTGCTTGTCTGAAACCTTTTTTATAAGTCCACTGCTGGAGGAAGTGGCTGTAAGCAGGGTTCAGCCAGCCACTGCCAGTGAAGGAGCCTTTGTTTCAGTGTCAACACAGCACGAAAAAGAGCCAAATTGGAGAAATTTCACATTCTTGCCTTGCAAGTTTCTCTTGTCCTCCTTGGAAATATGGCTATGTGAGGCAGAAGCCAAAGAGATATTTTTTTTTTTCTGGCAGAGTTTCACACCTCATCTGCTCTGTGTTGTTTCAGGAGATCTTCATACAAGGAAACCTCATCATTCTAGGAGCTGGTTTTAATTACACTCTCTCAGTACCTGTTCTCTTTGAGGAAACGTTTTACAATGAAAAAGAAGAAAGCTTTAGTATACTGTGCATAGCTCATCCATTGGAAAAAACAGAGAGCTCAAGTATGTATTGATGTCAGTTTGGTGGCTGCTTTTGCACAGTGAGCAAGTTAATGTCTGTGCTTAATAAGTGTGCTCATTCTGGAAAGTGTTGGTTTGGTTAAAAGTCCTTGGCATTTATGAGCTTGCTGGGCCAGATGTTGGTGTGCTGCTGCAGAGAAATACCAAGTGCTCCCAGCAAAACTAGTGCTGAGACTTGGGCATAAGTCCTGTAGAATTAAGAATTATCTGTGGAATACTTAATCCAGCATGATTTTTCTTAGCTGTGCTCAATTTAGTGCTGACTGCTTAGAAAAGGGATTTAATCCTAGATGTGATCATGTGTGTCTTGAGATGCAAGGTGGATGCACAAATAACTGGAGAGGTAAATTCTTTCATGATCACTTTGTAGGGGGATAGAGGTTGTGTGGCACAGTTAGGTGGCAGCCTCCTGATGGTGGCCCAGCTTATGAAGTTGAATGTCTCAATTTTTGTCCTGCACTGAAAGTGCTCCTTGAGGCTGTGAGACTGTTTTCAAGACTGCTGTCAATACTGTGAATGTGAGCAGCATGTCCTTGTGAACTTGTATAACAATCTATGTTGACTAATTGAGAACAGAAGCTGCTTAAGAAGCTTAGAAGCATCAGCTTTTTCTGTAGTAAAAACATTAGTCTTCCTAAATAAATAAGAATATTTGAAAAAAGTGAATGCAAAGGGAAGTAGTACTAGGGTAGTGTGAAAGTAGTACTGTGAGGGAAGTATGGAAGGCTTGAAAAAAACCAACAAAACAATCAACCCAGCTGCCATTCATATTGCCTTAAATTCTGTAGGTGTTAATGTATATCTCAAAATTTTTCTTGTGATATTCTTTATAGCCATTACTTACTATAGTCATATAACAGTCTTACAGAAGTGAAGGAGTTTCTAATTTCAGAAGTAATTTGAAAAGAATTATTTAAGCCTCTTATTAGCTGGCCGCCTTTGACTGGAGATGAAAGATTTGACTAGAAAGAATTTTTGGAAAAAGCATGATTCCTGAGTGAGGGATTCAGTTGTCTTATTCAGAAAAAATATGCATTTGCTTTAATGTTGCTTCCTGTAACTTTGCTCTCCCATTCAGAGAAAGCTTGTCTAAATAAAGAATAGCTTATGTAAAAGTCCACGATGGGATTTTTGCAGCTTGCTTAAAGCACCCTGACTTCCTGCATGGTCACTCTGTCAACACTGTAATGTGCTTTTCTTCTACTTTCAAGCATGACTTACACAACTCATAAGCTGAGTGCATGTGGTAATAAATGATCCCAATGTAAAAAAATAAGTGGAATCTGTTTTAGCTATTCCAAATAAACACTTGACATGAAAAGCAGGGGAGCCTGCTCAAATGTGACTCAGTAAATTGTTTTAATTAAAGGCAATATCTCTAGTTAAAGGTGCAGTGAGCTGAGTTCATGTTTCAGTGTACAAAAGCTGGCTGTATATGTAGGGACAAAATGTATTTTACCATGCATACATGTATTAAGCCTATGTGTTAATTCTTGGCTTTTATTTTAGGTGAATCTACAGCTTCATCAAACTCCTATTCTCTTAAAAACATTGAAGATGCTAGAGAGTTCTTGGGAAGGCACTGTGAGAGATTTGATAAATACATAGGATCTTTCTATAGAACATTTAAGGAACACGAAAGGAAAAGCCTCCGCCACTACATAGTCAGTATCTTCCTTCCTGGTGTCTAATTTGCTAAATATAATTAGCTTCACTGGTGCTGTTATCTTTGTCTTACTGAGCTTTTCTGTGTCAGAGTAGCCTAGAGTTGTGAAAGGGGAGGAGGGAGAAGTGGTAATTCACATTTAAGAATTTTACTGTCTGAACTGTTTAGTAAATGCAATTATTATTGCTAAAACTCTTACCATACTGTACACCTTTGAGACAGGGAAGACTTGTATTACTTATTTAGGCTTTGCTCCTCCAAGTCCCATTAACCTGAACCTGATGGCTTCTGTCTTTTCTCTCTCCTAGGATTCTGTCAATGCACTTTATACCAAATGTCTGCAGCATCTTTTGAGAGATTCACACCTGGTAAAGACTTACTCCCCTAAATACATTGTACAGTGTTACTTAGGCAATAAATTATCTGACTTTCTCTTGCTGTTTATGGCTTTGCTTTTCTAGAAGCTGCTTGCAAAGCAAGAAGAGCAGATGAATCTGATCAAACAAGCAGTTGAAGTAAGCATCTGAAATGAAGGAAAATAATTAGCAAGCTGTTTTTAATTTTCCCTTTCATGCCTAAAATACTTTTTTTTTCTACAGATGTATATCCATCATGCTATTTATGACCTAGTCTTCAAATATGTGGGGACGATTGAGGCGAGTGAAGTAAGTTTCTTTGATTGCTCCATACTAGTGATGTTCTTCTAAAGCATTTAAAAAAACTGTTGCCTTTCTATTAATTAGGATGCTGATTTTAATAAAATCACAAGGAGCCTTCAAGACCTGCAGCAAAAGGACATTGGAGTGAAGCCTGAGTTCAGGTGAGAGAGATGACTGTGGATTCTTGAAGAGTTACTGAGATCCTGTCTTAAATAGGATCATGCCAGCCAAAAAAATATTTTCCTTCAGGCACTAGCAAGTTTTTTTACACTTTCATTTGAGATGTAACATCAAAGCTTTGCAAGTGTCATATGAGGACACTCTATGCATTGATTACTTTTCTATTTTTAAGCCATATACAGGATACAGAAATGCAGGTGCACTTGGAGTAGAAGTGGGAGTATTTTGGAACCGTTCTTCATTTCAGCTCTGAATAAGTTAAAACTTGGGCTTTGGACATCCTGCAGAGGAACTCTGTATGCTAATCATTCCTTTCTAATTATTTTGTAGTTTTAATATACCACGTGCAAAGCGAGAGCTGGGGCAGTTGAACAAATGCACTTCCCCTCAACAGAAGTTGCTTTGTCTGCGTAAAGTTGTACAAATTATCATGCAGTCTCCAAGCCAAAGAGGTCAGTAATTAGTCAATTCATCATTTTAAACTTCACCAGCACACACAGAGCACTTCAGTATATAAACAACTGTTTGGATAACTCTTGGGGATCAAACACAGTTGAGCTGGAGTCTCTAAGGTCTCTGAACAAGGCAGAAGGGAAGGGCAGTGAGGCAGATGTGTCAGCACTGGTTCCTGTGGGCTCAGGTGTGGTACTGGGTTAGCTTGTGTACGTTTTAGCTTGGACTTGTGGGAAGCTCACATCTGCCAGGACACTGAGGATTGCAGACATGATTCTATGATACAAAAGCACAGTCCTCTTAACCTGGCACTCACTTTATCTAGCTTGAAAAGAGAAGATACTTCTGCAATCTCTTCTACAAAGAGAGTAGCACAGTGAAGTTACGCTTTCCCTACTTCATCTCTTCTCTAGGAAGACTGCTGGGTTATGGAAAAATGTATCAGCTTTGAGTGTAGTCTTTGCCCTCAAGAATTTCAGAAATCTTGAGCTAAAGCTCTGGCCCTTGCTGTGTGGGAAGGGAGGGATGCTAGTCAAATATTGCAGTGTGTGCTGCACAAACTGCATCTGTGTGTTGGCTCCTGGCAGACTGCTTCAGTGAGAGATTGAGAACATTTGGAGGCCTGCCCTGGAGTCTCCATGCATTCTGTACTAGTAGAGCTGGCCCTCAGTCTTAAGAGGCAGAACTTTAGAGTTATTGCTCTTGATGTGAACCATGACATGACTAATGCCAAATGTGCATTCTTGTTTTTAGTTAATGTGGAAACCATGTGTGCAGATGATCTTCTCTCTGTTTTGCTGTATTTGCTTGTAAAAACAGAAATCCCAAACTGGTATGTAACTGTTTTAGCTATACAGAACTCCTTCCTACCATCTTGTGTAGTGCTGCTTTTGGGACAAATGTTTCTGAACATACAGTAATAACTTATTGGAAGTGTAAGGTCCTGTTGAAATGCAGAAGATGTTTTATAGGACAAATAGCAAAGATGTGTTATATGTGTAACTAAATGAAGGAGCTATCAGGAATGTGCCTTTTGTTTTGATCCTCAGCCTAGAAAAAAGTTGTAGTGGGAGGCCATATCTCAACCAAATCTGTGTGTCAATACAGCCTTCACAGAGAGGTTCTCTCTCATCTGTGTTGGGAGCTGTGACACCTTTATGCATATCAAGATTTGGTGCATTTCTTACAGACAAACTAGCTGTGAATGTTTAATTACTTCCTGCTAGCTTGTGCCATTGTCTCCTCATTTTCAGTAAAAGTCTGTCTAAACCTTCCAGCTGTACCTGAACTGGTTCTCTGTGCTGTTCTATCCTGGATCTCTGAGATCAGCATTGGCCTTTAACTTGTAGCTATCACTGTGGTGCTTATGGTGCTGGAAACATTGCTTCTCTCACCTCAAAGATGTTGATCTCCCATTATTGTCCTTATCCTTCTATTCCTTTCATTCAGTTGATAACTCTTCGTTGAGTATTTAAGAGATAAGTAGAGTTCTGGTCACTCTGCAAGCTCAGAATAACCATATTGCTGGCCTAACAAGCTTTTTAGAAGCTTTTTCCCAACTCACCCTATTGTCTGCCTGAATTTCCTAAGATGAGCTGCAATATGCCATGCTAGTGTCTTAGTTTTTGTTGTTCACAGCTTTAACTTTTTCTTTTCAGGATGGCCAACCTGAGTTACATAAAGAACTTCAGGCTTTGCAGCTCGGTGAAGGATGAGCTGGGGTACTGCCTGACCTCCATCGAGGCTGCAATAGAGTACATCCGGCAGGGCAACCTCTCTGACAGACCAACAGTAAGCTACTCTTAAACTCTGTCCAGTGCTTGGTACCTTGTACTACCACTGTGGTGTGAGTCCAGCCAGAGGATACAGATAACTAACTTAAGAATTGCCTTTTTTTGCTTTAAAAAATGAGTAGAGGTGACTACCTGAAGCCAATACTAAATTGACCTAAATGATCATAATGAAGTCCTAATGATGTACCAATACCAATATCTCCATTGCATACTTCTTGAGGAAGTACTTAAATGTCAGGTCTGTCTCTTCATGTGGTTAGAGGAGAAATGACAGCACTGTTTTCTACAGATGAGTCTCCAGTATGTTTATCTCCTGTTTGTACTCCACCATGATTGTGAAAGCAGTGCAGTACTTGGGAGCAGGCACAACTTAAATTTTTGTTTTAAAAAACTTATTTAAAATATGCTTAGCTGTGCAAGCAGAATGGAGATAGCAGTGTAATTTAGAATTATTCAGTAAGTCTTCATACTAGAAGAATTCTGTGTCTTTCCAGTGTGGGTTACAGTGCTGCACTGAGTTGATGGCTTAGGGGGGTTGCAGGGCTGTGATAAGGTGCTGTTTGAAGGTCAAATTTGGCCCTTGGGATCTCTGACCTAGCAGGGGCAGGAAATCTGTGGATGCATGAGAGATTTCCTACTGGGCAGCTAGACCTGCTGTTGGTCTGGTCACATCCCTGCAGGCCAGTCAAGGGTGATGCTGATGTGACTTTGGAAATTTCTATAATTTAAGAACTTTGTAGATTATTTAGTCAAGGAATCCAGTCTTACCACTCCTGTAAAATTTTCTACTGTTGTAAAACTAGGTTTTCCTGAGCTGATGTGGACATCAAAAGGAGTGAACGTGGAGCCAGAGTGAATTCAATGTGTCTCAGTCTGCCCAGCTGCAAAGCACTGGAGTCTAACTGCAGGGGCCAGAATAATGATTCAGTGTGCAGGGCTTGGGATGGGACATCCTGGGACACAGTCTTAAGAAGCACTTAATGTAACATTTTGGCCTCTTACTATTTTTGGTTTTGTCCTTTTCTGGGATTTTTCCATAAACTTGTGCAAGTTGGTTTTGTACACTCAAAAAACAAAAAAAACCAAAAAAAACCCAAACCAACACTTTCATATTGTACAAAGAGTATATTTCTTGTCTGTAATTGAATTATATTCAAAAAAATAAAAATGTTAGCTTAAAAGAATCAACCTGCTATATGATTTTGCTTCCTGCAGTCACTTGGCTGTCATTCACAATCAATATACAAAGAGCAATGCTGGTGCTCTGAAAGAAAACTGAAACCAAAGTAGAATTGTCTTCCACAACAATGCCAGCAAACTAAGACAGCATATACTGCTCTTAAATTTCTAGAATAAAGGCTATTTCCTATTAAATGCCTGATCCTGTCTGTCTTGGTGTAGTTAAGTATAGCAGCTTTCATACTGGGATTGCATTCAAATATTGTAACTTAAGTGCCACTTCCATTAAGGTACTCTAGTTCTTTGGGAGGCACCTGTCCTGAAAGATAAACTATATATTTGAGAAGTTTAAATGAGGAATTCAGTGTCTGCACCACGAGAAGAGTGAGCCATTAGTGTTCATACTTCAGCTGGATCAGCTCCAGACCTAGAGAACTTCATCACTTCAGGGTGACTGTGCAACACAAAGTCCTCTTGCATTGCCTTTCCTGGGAGTCAGCCTGGCTGGAGAGCAGCAGAACCCTGAGCATGAAGGGAGGGACAGCTTGCCCTTAACACAGCTGGAAAGGAAACAGCCAGACCACCTTCTTCTCCTTGGCAGGAGAAGGTGGCACACAATGAAAACAGACTGAGGTGGAAATGGAAAAAGAATAATGAAGAGGTGGAGGAGCACTGCTCTCCCTTTGTGGAGTTACCAGTTGAGATATTTTCTTTACTCTCTGGTAAAGGGGATGAACCCTGAAGCACAACAGCTGTCATCTTGCTGCCCTGTGATTTCCTTCTCCAGATTGTGCTGGAAGGGGGCGTGGGGATGAAGTGAGCAAGAGCATTGCTGTGCCCTGGGGCTTCATTACAGCCCCTTATGTGGTTATGCTTAATTTTATAGCTGGCTTCAGATGGAGCTGCTGGCAGCTGAGTAGTGCTGCTGTCCAATCCCTAATGAAGATTACTCCAGAAAGAAACTCAGCAGGGGACTAATGTACCCTGAGGGATAATGGGCATGTTCTCACCCTCCTGTCAGTAAGTGAATTGCACTCAGGACCTTCTTGCCAAATCCCTCCACCCAAGGTCATGCAAGTCCTTGTCAGACACTTTGTGGAGAAGGGAGGAGAGTATCAATTTTATTTTCTGAATTTTCAACATTATTCAATTAGAATTCCTGTTAATAAATGTTGGATACGAGCTCATTCCTTTGCACAGCTAATGTGTAGTAAGACTCTGAAGTTCAGAGGGCTCAAGTGAGGTATAAAAAATGGGCAGTCAGAGCCAGCCATGAGGGAATAGGCAGGATTTTATTTCATGTATGGGAGGAGCTTCAGATGGGGAAATGATCCCTACTCCCCCTCCCCACCAAACACTTCATTACCCTTAATTTGTGTTCAAGAGTTCATCTGCTGGCTTCTGCCACATGTATTTCCTCCAAGTTATCAGTTGTAATCTGTGAGAATGTCTTGAGATAGATGATTTCAAAGGTACACTCTCATAGGTACAGATATTTTCTTTTTTTACACATTGTAGTATTAGATTAAAAAGGTCATTAATGTTTGGGTGTGTATTTTCTAGACAGCATACCCTTAAGATACCTGGAAGTCCCACTCTAAGCAACCCCTTTTAAAAAGAAACACAAGTTCTTGGTCTGTAAGTAAAGCTGGTACAAGTGAGTTCTGACTTTGAAGGCCCAAACTTGTTTAATCCTTCAGTGAATATCTGATTGTTTTCATTCCATATTTCACTATTGAAGATATGTGGTTTCACCTGAGCTCTTTTTATTCTGATTTATATAATAAATATATAATACTGCTACATTAGGGTTACTGTCTCATGTGCCTCTCTTAAAATAATGATTCCACTTGGGGAGCACTTCCCTTGAAGACACACTCTGTGGAAGGAGCAGTTCTAAAACTACAGTAGTTCTTGCTCATGGTTAATTGGATTCTCCACAGTGAAAGTGTAAAGCTGTCTCTGAGCATCCACACTAGAAATTCTGATTAGACATTAGGAACTTGTACCAGCAGTTAAATTTTGCATCAAATATTTCTTAGGGAAATTATTCCTAAGAAAAATCTATCCAAGGACACTAGTGTTATATGGTTTGTAATTCTGAGAAGATATGTTGGGTATCCTTAGCTAAAGTACAGAGATTGGAAAAGATTGGTGAATATTTGTCATCTTTACGTATCTAAATCCTGTGAAGTACAGAGAAAAACTTTAATCTCCAGACCTCACAAACATGTTTTTAATGATGTTATTTGCTGAACTCTTAAGGGTTTTTGGACAGCTTTATGAGAGGCATCTGTGTTGATTTTGAAACATGAATAGTCCTAATTTCTAGAAAGTCTGAACCAACTGATGTTGTTTATTTGCAGTTTATGAGGCTCAAATTTCATGCTGACTTACTAATGCAAGGGTGGAGTCAGACTGGTTTTACTCATTTATATCTGCTCTTGACAGACTTTTAATTGCAAAAGCCATAGCCCAGATCCTAAACCATCGACATTTTCCTGATACATGGGTGTGTGTCTTAAATGCAGTGGTTTTCTGTTTTATGGAGGCTGAAGTCTTTCCATTTCTGGAGAGCCATTATCCTACAGCAGCACAACCACAAGCAGCTGTGCATCAGAGCCAACCACGTGCAAAAGTTTCCATCTGCATTCTTAGGAAGTGTTTTCCTTAGGTTGTTGTTTTATTTCATGGGAGGGTCAGTGCTGCCACCTCAAAATCTAACTCCACTTCATAATTTTCACCTGGCTTTGGAGGCATTTATATTCTTCAGTGCATCTAAAGTGTATCTTTAGGTGTCTCTAAATACTGACACAAGGGTTGCAGCTGTATCTGCCTAGCTCAAACCAAGTAGGAAATCTACACAGATGCAGAGCAGTGCTTTGCCTGCTGCAATCTTCTGTTTTTCAGCCAGCAGCAGAGTTCAGAATTCTTTGAGTTGTATCTGGGTCATCATTTTTAGTAGCCATCAGTAGACATGTTTTGTGTGAATTTCCCTTAATTTCTCCTCTTGAGAAAGATGTGTTTTACCTCTTACAGTTCATGCTTTCTTTGATATGTATTTTTTAGTTTTGCTATGTTCTTTTTAAGATGGTACTGCCATAATTTCATTAATGTTAATTCACAGTCAATTTCATTAAAGAATATTCTGGTGAACATCTGCTTATTTCTATGAGTGCCCAGTCTTTTATGTCTCAGAATCTTAAAAGTGAAACTGATTCAGATTTCACATGTGTCTGATAATTCATACATAGTAAATAAGTGTTTAGTATTTTTAAAAGCTAATTCCAGTGTTAGGGTTCCGCACTTTTGCCTGTAGATGTCTGTATAAATAATCTATCTGTTTTATTTTCAGGAATCTGAGAGTCTGTGTGACAAGCTGCTCTTAAGACAAAGGATGAACTTGTTGTCCCAGATGTCTGCTGCACCAATAGACTGCTTGTTTAAGGTTAATAACTTTTATGACAGAATATGCATGTATTTACACATTTCATATTTATATCTATCCCTTTCTGCAGTTGTGTGGAATTACAACTGGAATTCTCTGGAATGTAATGAAGGGTTAATTACATTAGTACTGTGAAATGTCTTTTAGTAGATGCTAAAAGTGTCTTTTGAATTGAGTACCTTTCTGTGTCAAAGCCTTGCTAATATAATATAATCTTATGGATTTCAGCATGTGTTATATGAAATAGAGAAGTAAATGAGGATGAAATGCTTCTGCTGTTGGTTTTGTGTGACCCATTTAATGCACAGATGTGATATTGCTTGCGTCTCACAGCTTTTAGTACTTGAAATTGGAAGAGTTTTCTGAAACAATTTAAATGTAGTCACCTGACAGCTACTTCATATTCTCTGTTAATCTCACACTGTCATTCTAAAAGAATTTTGCCTATACAAGGACACAAAGCAGAGCTTCTAATTATATGTGTTCACAGCTTATGGCTGGAGACTTAGTAATTTTATAGACATGTTTTTGCACAGAGGGAGCTCAATTTCATGATTGAGTCTAAAGAGAACAATAGGAATTATTTTAATTTTTTTATAGAAAGTGAAGTAAGCCAAGAACAGTTTCTTTTTAATACTGAATGCCCATTAGGGGGTTTTGTGCTGTGACATTGTTCATTTCTGCTTTCTAATGCTTGAATACGTCTTTCAAAATCGAGTCCTTTCATTTTGTGCTTCAGTAAATTACTCTTGGCTTTTTTGTCTTAAAAGGAGGCCTTTAAAATTGGTTTCTCATTCTCTCTTCTCTTGTATTTTTTCGTAGCATATTGCTTCAGGTGATCAGGAGGAAGTGGAGCGGCTGCTAAGTCAAGGTGACAGTGATAAGGACACTGTACAGAAAATGTGTCACCCGCTGTGTTACTGTGACAAATGCGAGAAGCTGGTTTCTGGGTGAGCACTCTTCACCCCACAAATGCATAGAAAGCTGTGTAGAAGCTTTATCTAAGATGTGCTTCAGGAAGTATGCTGCTTTTGGTTATAGAGGAATTTGGGAGCACTTCAGGATGTAGTAGAGAGCATGTGGGTGGGTGTGGTTTGAAAAAACAGAAATATTGGGAGCAGACAGAATCCTTTGGAACCCACCTGTTCTGTTATGGAGCCTGTGTGGGCTTTGGTGAACATGGTGCTTCTTCTCTTGAATCAAACTTACAGATCTGGGACTAACCCACTGCTCTTAACAAAATGTAATGGAATAATTTGTCAATGTAAAAGGGTAAAAAGTTCCAAAATCAGTTTTTTACCATCCTTGGCAGCTTTTCCCTTTCCCTCCTCCTTCCTACCACCACCTGGGTAATTAAGCTGCTTTCAAACCATTGTGTTTTAAAGGAAACTGAATGACCCTTCCATTATCACTCCCTTTTCCCGAGATGACCGGGGGTATACTCCACTTCATATAGCTGCTATTTGTGGTGAGTGGGCATTCTTCACTAGTGTTTCCTACTCCTTTTGCTCTTGTGTCTTTGTCAGCCTGTTAAAAGTTGGAATTGTATTAAAGTTGGAGTTCTGCATGAAGTTGTTTTTTTGCTTCTTTGCTATTGAAACATTGCTGTTTCTCTCTGAGCACAGACTGAAGTCATTGTATATTCTTTTAAGCTCAGTTTCTTATGGCTGAGTTAATCTTTGACTCTACTTTTGCCATAGTGGTTACTACAGTGGTGCTTTCTTCAGCTTTGAAAAAAGTAAAGTGTGTCCTCAGAAACCAGGAGGTTTCTGGTTTTTTTAAAGGACTGGCAGATTGAGAAATTCCTTTTCTCTTTCCTGCAGCTAGCTATGCATGGTAGATCTGTAACACCTGTGTTGTAATGTTCATTATGTAATTGGTTTTGCTTTTATTAGAAGCTGTATTATTTTCTTAGTGGGTGGTTTCTTATTTATAATTTCCTTTCTTGTTATTTTATTGACTTGAAATATTTTCTTTTGTTACTTGTAGGATACAAATATAGCTTGCTTTTAGCTGGAGGTTCTTTTATGGGGCTTTGACATTGAAATATCTGCCACAAAAAAACCCAAATACCAAGGCAGTGAATATGCAGTACATGGAAACATAGTGTGCAGAAATGCAGGGTATTTTGGTTTATAGTCACTATTTGAATTTGAAAAGTAGCAGTGTTCTTGTGCAAAGTTTACACCTTTCTTTGAATGCTTGTTTTCCAAGGTCAAACTTCATTAGTGGATTTGCTGGTAGCCAAAGGAGCCATTGTCAATGCCACAGATTACCACGGTTCAACTCCCCTTCACCTCGCCTGTCAGAAGGGATACCAGAATGTTACAGTAAGCACAACACCTACCTAAATAATAAATGCATCACTCTTACTAAGCTCTGCTACTGTTACTGTCATTTAGCTCTTCTGGGGAGCTTTTACCAGAACTGTGTAAGCTGTCAGAATGGAGGATCTTTCATCATTGGAGTTTGCAAGATATTTTATTTTTTCTTCTACTGCAGGGTTTTCAGCCATTGGTAATAACCAGATGGCAGCTCTGCACAATTCATCCACTTTATTAACACAGATGTCCAATACATAATGCAAATGGAGAACATCTCTGCTGTGGCTTGAGACAGAACAGCCATTGCAGCCATTGGGCTGAGTTAAATGCTTCACACTGTGTTTAGGATAGACTGTGTAACTGCAGTAATTATTGTCTGCTTGAATTTAGTGTATGTGATATTCTTCAATTAGCATTGTTGAAATAAAGTTATCTTCACTTGCATAGGCAATTGAAATGTGAAGTAGATGATGTAGTGAATGTATTGCAGTGTTTGCTGCAGTACAGAATTCATTTTTTTAATTAAAATTCTGAATATGTGAGAAGAGACTTTGTGATTCTCAGGGTAGGGCACAAACAGTGCTGCAGTGGCAAGAGGGTGGTGTCTGAAACAGGAGGCATAGCTAGTGTCTCATTAAGTGCTTCATCATGCCAGAACCCTAAAGGAATCTGCAGAGCAATAATTGTTTGTACATTAATTTTTTAGCTACTTAAATGTCTACTTTTGCTTTTCTTTTAAGCTGCTCTTATTGCACTACAAGGCAAGTACTGATGTTCAGGACAATAATGGAAATACTCCACTTCATTTAGCCTGCACTTATGGTCATGAGGATGTAAGTAATTGTTTTGTATCAAACCAAATGGGCATGCTAATGCAATGGAATTAAACTGATGCAAATTAGCACTAAACTTACATATTTTAAAAAGTAAATAAAAATATTTGAAGGCTAAATTGTTTAATGCTCTAAATGAGGACTTTATTTGGTAGTTTGTAGCAATTTTTAATGTGACTTCACATTAAAGATAGTAGTGCTTTGCAAATCTAGTTGTTTAACTCTTTAATGACAATGAACCACTAAAGCCTTCTCTTTAGTAATGGGTTACATAAGCAGCAATCAAAACAAACCTTTTAGGACTGTGCCTGTTGTCTGAACTGACACACACCGCTATAATTTATTGATAGCTTTCCTTTTCCTCCCAGTGTGTCAAGGCTTTAGTGTACTATGATGTGCACTCCTGCAGGCTGGATATTGGCAATGAGAAGGGAGACACTCCTCTGCACATTGCTGCTCGCTGGGGCTATCAGGGCATCATTGAAGTGCTCTTGCAAAATGGAGCAAACCCAGAAATTCAGAACCGCATGAAAGAGACTTCCCTGCAGTGTGCATTGAATTCCAAGGTATTCCTCTTCATCTGCCAGCCTGATTTCTTTCTGATGCAACACCGCAAAGGTGGAGGTGTTCACTGCTTGTAGGGTTTCACTCTTAAAGAGAAAATGTGTCTTTCACTCTGAGGAAGAAAGGTCACATTTTAACTCCAGCAGTGTGAATACACTCTGTGGGACAGAACATGAACTTGTAAATGGGTACTTCTCATCTGCTCAGTCATATTCTCTTACTAATTATTAGGTTGTCAGCTGATTTGTGTTTCAGTCAGTAGATTCCTCTATGAGTGGAGTTACATTGGTTCTCTTTAATATTTTTGTGCAGATTTTGTCATTGATGGAAGTAAACTACCTGACATTTGAAAGAGGACAGAGTGCTTCAGAGGTAATGTAAACAACAGCCCATGCGAGTTGCTAAATTGTTTCTTGCCTCTGCTTAACCTCCTTTATTTGATATTTAACCTTTTCTGGTTGTTTTTTGTTTTTTGATTGATTTTTATATGTTTTTTTTCCAACTGTAAGTCACCCCTTAGGTCTCCTCAGCACTCAACAGAAACTTTCAGCAGAGGATCATCTGTCTCAAGCCTGTCATCAGCATCAACTGATCTAAGGCAAGAAGAAGGAAAAAACAGTTATAAAGAGGTAAGACTGAGGTACAGGTTTTGACAGTAAGCAAAGTGAAGGAAGCTGGAAGAGTGATAATTTACCATGGCGTTTTCAACTTCTTCCTCAGGAATAGCCTTCTGTGTGGTTTGGAAAATGATAACTGCTGTCCTCAGGGGATTGTTTTCTCAGTACCTGAGTACTTATCTTTGTGTGGTTTCAACTGCTCTGCTGGTTATTTCTGGGGAAAAATTGGCACCATCTCTGAAGTAGTTGTTCGTATTTATTGAAGTTTACTACGTAATTTGAGAATTTGTTGAGTGTGTTTGTTTCTCTCAATATCATCACTACATTCAAATTCTTCCTTTTCCAGGTATTAAGAGGTTCTTCTCTTGCCAGAAGTTTCATTTTTCTAAAAATATTGAAGAAACACAAAGATGCAAATTGTGACTGGACAGTATGATTTCACACTTGAGTTGTTCTGTCAGAGGCTCAGTGTAGGGCTGGACCTCCCTGTTTGTACAGAGTCAAGCACTCTAAATAAATTCTCCTTGTAGATTGAGGATTTCTTTTTCTTTGAAGGAGCAAATTTATCACACCCAAGTGCTAAGACTATAGTTCAGATCAGGGAAAAAGATTACAAACTGCTTACACCTGAGGTCCTTGGGGTGAATGACCTTCTCTGTAATCCAGCTTTAGCTGATTTCTGTTTGCCAAGTTTCACCTGGGCTCCCTGCTCAAAGAGGCAGGAGCCTGATGCTGAGAGAGCTCCAGGAAGGACACACCACTGGAAGTAATGGAAACTGATATAGTCAGTTTTCCAAATTTCAAGGTTTCCACCTTGAATTAAGGGGATCCAGTCAGATTTGGTTAATCAATACTGAATTAAACTTTTAAATGAGCCAGTCATAGTGGCTTGTTTATTATGACTTAGAAAAGAGAGAGTGAAAGAGCCAGAATTGTAAATTTGGGATTTGCTCTGTTGGAACTAAAATCTCCATGCACCGTTTCTGTTCAGCATCTGAAATACTGGCCACGCAAGTGAATTGTAATGGGCTTGTTTCTTCTATTTTTACATTTAAAGGAAGGTTCTGTTCCATGGAAGAGTGAGAAAACAAACTGGAAAGATGGGGAAGTGCATGTAGCAGACATTTTGCCCTAAGTACTCTTAATAAATTATCTATAAGCTGCATAACAAATGTACCACTGCTGGGGCCTCAGACAGCATTTAGTACTTTAAGAAAGTTGTTATTTTTGGAAAGAAATTATCAGAGCTTGTGGGTCACTGCTATTAATGTTGGGCATCTTGTATGGCATAAGGTGACTCCAGAAAAATGCTTGAGACCTCTGCATTGTTCAGTGACATTATTCTGTATGATTACAGGAAGCTTAGGGGAGGCACAGACCTCCCTAATTTATATAGTCCATTTTAGCTGTAAATATGGAGAGACTTTGGGATTCAGCTCACCCAGCTTCTGGAAGACAGTTGTCTTTACTTCAGATATTTATTTCCCCTCCTCAGTCAGTGGAGGGAAATTCACTTCAGAGAGGAGTTAATCTCAGAAATGCTTAGTTTGACCTGAGTTGCACTCAGGTGTTATTTGTTGACTGCATTCTGTTCTGCGGTTACCATAGGAGGAGTTTAAAAATAAATGCCTGGCTGAGATTCAGACAGCTGACTTTTAGACATTGAAAGTTAGGAAAGAAAAATCAAAGAATCATAGATTCAGCCTGGAGTGACCAGTGCATGACTCCAAGGACTTTCATCCTGTATTAGAAAGGTGGTAATAAACCCAAACTTAGCAGTGTTCTAAGAAGAGATAAAAATGGAGAGATTTAATCTGGCCTCTGATCTTTCAGCTGTTTGTGTCCTGTTCTTCATCTGAAACCCTGAAGAGATCAGAGCAATAGAACACAAACTTGAGTCTCATTCTTCCTTGTTTGCCTTGCCAAACACCACTGTCACACTCAGCAAGGTGGTAATTTCCATATGAAATGGAAATGTGCCTGAAGCTGTCACTCCATGACATCTCCAACTTGCAAGGTGTTCCTCACTATAGAAACAAGTGTGTTTACCCATTAGCATCTTCAGTGATTCTAGCACAGTGCTGGAATAATTTGCTATAGTGCTAAAACAGACTGTCACAAAGCTTTTAAAATGATTCTTGACACTCTGCAGAGCCAGGTGAATTGTGAGAGGACTGATGGACTCTCCATGCCCTTTTGCTGGCACTTTTCCCATTCCTATCAGGTTGGATCTCAACTCCTTCATGTAGAGAATTAGAGAAGTGAAGAGACAAGTTAATCTCCTTCTCCTGCTTTCACAAGCAGCCTGAGGCTCAGGGAATGGCACCAGTGCTCTGCAGAGCTCCTTCCACCTCTTCCTCCCTCACGTGTGTGTTCCCCTGCAGAGCTGTGAACAGGCAAGCACCTTCCCCCAGCAGTGGGGCCCTGGCCTCACCTTGCACTAAAGTGGGCTAATGCTGGTGCTGGTCCCAGTGTATGCCCTTTAGTATTTATATTTTCCCAGATTTTAAGTAAGAAAACAAATTTCATACTTACAGTCAAGTTAGATTTGTAAATGTTTGGTTTTAGCGCAGGATTAAACCAGATATCTGCAGATGTGAAGGTAACAATTTGAAAGCATCTTTTGCATCTTAAACTGTTGTTTCTCAAATTGCTTTGTGTTCCTGTAATTGCACTGTACACTGTAGTAGTGTGTTCAGGTTTTTGGGAGACACTGGTACAGTATGTTGGGAGCTGTGTGCTGGGTGATGAGAGCAGCACAGAGCAGCTCAGCCAGTGTTAGTGTATATTAGGGTAGGAATTTACCTTGAGCAGGCATTTTTAACATTGGGATGATGAGAGCAGCACAGAGCAATTCAGCAGGAGTCCAGAGCAGCTCAGCCAGTGTTAGTGTGTATTAGGGTAGGAATTTACCTTGAGCAGGCATTTTTAACATTGGGCTCACACAGAAATGCACAGGGCAGCTGCTGCTGGAGCAGCACAATAATATATATCAGCTTACATGGCTTCATTTATGGGTGGGCCACATATCCTCAATTTAGATAAGTACTGTTTAACTGAGCAAGTCAGACATCATCAAATGGCCACAGGCCTTGCACAGGTTCTCTATTTCATAAAGGAGGAAGGTTTTTCCTTTAAAACTTTATCAATAAATATGAAATGGGCCAGCAGTAATCCTACTGCATGAGCTTATGAGGTTAGCAAAGGACATGGGATTTTCTGTGTTCTGCTTAATACCCATACCAACAAAGCAAATAAATAATTTTCTTCATACATAGGTGGAAAAGCTCCTGAGAGCAGTTGCTGATGGAGATCTGGAAATGGTGAGTATTAATGTGGCTGTTGAATGTTACTGAATTCCATTTTATCGCATTCAAATTGAGGAAGTTAATTGTAAATAGTATCAAGGGGAGAATGCTTTGGGTAATAATCTCAAGTAAAGAGGAAATTCATGTGACACTAGTCAGCACAGAGATGCTATTTGTGGGGCACACAACAATGTGAAGTTTGGGTTTCACTTCAGATGGACAGCTGATGATATAATAATACCAATTCCAGAGGTGATGTTCTGTAATTTGTGTAATCACCTGTCTTGACTGTTCTTTTATTTATTATTGCCTTTATTCATTAAAAAATAAGATACTTGCAATGTCATTCTACTGAAAAATTGAAGATGACACAGGAATCTTTAGGAGTTTTGCTTTCCTAATGTGTGTAAGGCTGTAGATGTCTAGATTTTCTTGTAGTTCACAGAACAAAACCATAAAGCTGTGTGAGAATGCAGGTTTGCTCTACTGGGTGCATGTTCTGAAAAACCTGTTTGGGTTTGGTTTGTACCAGGAATTACAAATGCCAATGAAGCCTCCTAGAGTCATCAGAAAATAGAAAACCCATGTTGCAAAATATGTGCCATGTTAATACTGTTTCTCTTATGTTTTATTCCACTGAGATGATGCAAATAATTTATCTGCTGATAGAGCAAAGAACTGTTCAGCATGTCATTATCCTAGTTTACAATGTGACTTAATGTAAGGAAATATTTCCAAGCCAGCCCTGAAGCCATTTCAAGAAGCAGTAACATGTACAATGGTGATATTTGCCATTTTCCTGGCCACTGGTAAATGTACACATATTACAGTTAACTTTTCACCCACTTTGTGAAAAATCTAAACTTCATCAAGAAAATGAAATACAGTGCCATAACTTGCTGGGAAATTAGTATCTAGCACTGCTCAATAGATACCAGCAATGAAAAGCATATAGAAAAAAAGCATATAGAAATCCAGTCTGTGCATTCAGATGACAGAATCACCTTCTCTTTTGTGGCTTTACTTTCCTCATTACTGAAGTTCATGTGAAGCTGTTCAGAAAAGGAGAATCATCCAGCTGGATGACAAAGGTTACAGATTGCATATCTATTAAAAAACCATACATATTTAAAAACTCTGACCTTGTTCTGACAGCCTGAGGTCTGTCTGCATAGGAACAGCCACAGCAACCAGGTCATTAGGGCTGCTGTAGATGTTTGCTGTGACAGCCAACTGAGCTTTGCAAGAGGAGGCATTAAAAATTGCTGTAAAACTGGAAGATTAAAAAAAAATAAACGTTATTATGTGATTGGTGTTGTCTCAGCATAGCTACTGGATTTGGTGCTCTCCTACCCAGCCTGTCCAGTGGGAAGGATATGTGCAAATCTACCACAGGAAAAAAACCAAATCTCTTGTCTGAAATAAGTGCTGTGGAGCAGCTGAAAGGTTGGAGTGAGGGTACAGAGACTTAGGGTGCTCAGCTGAGTATTCCAAAGTAACCCAGCAGTGTAAAGAAGCTTTCAGGGGACAAGTTACCTGGCAAATGAGACTGGGCAATCTCCTGAGGTGCTTCATTGTGTGTCTACTTTAAAGTAAAGTTAATATTTTGACCAAAAAATATGTTTAAACTAAGAAGAATGGCCACTGCACTGTAATTATAAGGTGATGGGCACAGGAGTAGTGTGTTCAGATTTTTGGGAGGCACAAGTATCAATATGTTGGGAGCTGTGCACTGGATAATGAGAGCAGCAGTATTGGGCTGTCCCAGGAGGAGGAGGAAATCGATTGTGAGAGTCTTGGAGAGTTTGCAGGGAAGGGGGGAAGTGAAGTGAGGGTTCTGCTTATTTTAGACATGTGCAAATGTAGCAAGTGGTAAAGCTTTGCTGAGCTGGCCTTCCATAAACAGGCAGGCTTGAGAGAAGATTTCCTTTACTCCAGAGAACAGTATGGAGTTTGCAGGGAAAGCAATATTCTGTAAAAAACATCCCTTTTCAGGCTCAAATATGTTGTCATTCAGAGTCAGGTATAGGGCCCTTCCTGGCTCCCTAGGATTTGTTGTAGCTGCATGTGTTTAAGTGGATGAGACATGGATTGTTTTCCCAGACCTCAGTGGTGAGGAGCAGAACCTGTGACAAGTGTGAGAGTAAACAGAGTGGGAGGGATGTCTCAGAAATCCCACTGTCCCCATTCCCTTGGATTAGCAGTTGTAGAGCTCTTGGCTTGGTCCAGTAGTAATGGAGACTTAATACAGTCACTGCTAATTCTAAAATGCCTTTAGTGAAATGTAGATTTATGAATTTCAAGGTAAAAATGCACTGCTTAAACAGCTTTTATTTTGTTGAATAAAATGTAATGTGAAATTTAAATGCCCTAAGCATCACTGTTGGCAGGTTGCACATGAATGCCCTGAGCCCTAAGACTTCTCTGAAGGGCTTCTCTCAAAAATGAGGCACTGCACATTGAGGGAAAAGTGAAACTGTCCAGCTCCTAAGTGACAGACCTAAGGCAAGTCAGTGCCCCTGCAAAGTTTTGGGTTAAATGTTGTCATCCTTGTCATTCCTTATGTTCTTTAAAGCAAAAGATGAAACAGAATTCACATTGATATGAGCTGGCACAAATCATCTGAGCTAAAAGGATGTGGAGTGTTTGAGAGTGGGTGAACACTGCAGTTGTGATTAGGCAGCAGGAAGTCATTTATAATTCACTTCACTGTACTTGGAGAACTTCCTAGCTGCTTTGTCAACAATAACACTTGATTTTTTAATTTGGCCTGTGGGCAGCTGATGGCAGGAGGTAACAGTGTGCTCTCCCTGAGAGACTCACAAGTGTGTGTTTGTCAAATCTGACTTGTCTGCATGTGCAGATCTGTTAGGACATGGAACTTTTGGACTCTATAAAGAAGGATTTGCTTTTTATGCCAGGTCCGTTATCTCTTGGAATGGGTGGAAGAAGACTTGGAAGATGAGGATGACACAGCCAGTACATCAAAACCAGAATTCTGCCATCCATTATGCCAGTGCTCAAAATGTGGGCCAGCACAAAAGGTTGGAATATTCATTCTGTAAAAAGAATAATTTATATTCTTGTAATGTAAGTTTCAGCTCCAGGGAAATAGCATTCATATTGCCCAGCACCTCTGTCTCTCTTCTAAAAATAAATTAACTATATACAGATTTTCACACTTCATCTGCTGGTGTGAAATTGTTCTTTTTTTAATGGAATTGGTGAAAATTTTGGATACAGGAATGGTGTTCATGGACTTGCACAATGTCTAATGGATTGAGAACACTTCACAGTTTGCTTTTAGGATATGTGGAGTGCTGTCAGGAAAGTTTGGGCAACTTTGAATAAACATTCATTCTTTTCTAAGCCTCTGGTTCTCCTTAGTTTACACTGCTACTGGCACAGCATATCTACTTACCTGTTAGTAATCAGTTCAGCAAGGAGTACCTGCTAATCCCAGAATCCATGTAATGCTGATAAAGTCTTTTTTTAATTGCACAGCATCTTTTCTACAAGCCATATCTAAAGCCTCTTCAGAGATCTGATATAATTACAAAGACTTTCTTTTCAGTTGCAAAGATTTCCTTCCCCCTAAATTACCACACCCTGTAGAATAGAAGAGGCTTTACAATACACTCTTCCTATGGTTTTTTTTTTTGTTTGTTTGTTGTTTTTTGGTTGGTTTTTTGGGTTTTTTGTGTGTGTATGTAGTGGTTCTGGTTTGGGGTTTTTGTTGTTGTTTTACATACGGAACAATCCCAGACTTTTGGAAATAGAAATTCCATAACTTGCCTCCCAGGAGGTGTCTGAAGGTGTACATGACTGGATAAGTCATTGTAAAATAAACCCAAGTACAAGTTTTCAGTTGATGGGCTGCTTTGGGGTTAACAGCACTGTGAGATGGCTTAACTTCCAAATTCCCCACTGCCACCACACCTTTATTTGTGCTGTTGTCCTCGAATGCTTCACATTCACACCGTGCCTTGTTCTCGGGTGAGGGCTGTCCCTGTGCCCATCGTGTGCTAACGATGCCAGAGTCCATGAAGCTCATTGTATTGCTGGCAGGGAGGGGAATGGCATCTGCTGCGGAATTCACTTGTCTGCTGAGTGAGAAGAAGGAGCTTGTTAGTTAATCCTAGCCCCTGTGTTAGGCAGGCACAGGTTGAAAGCGCAGGATGAAAGGCTGTGCAGCACTGTAAATGGCAGGCAGGCACAGTTTGCAAGAGGAGGGAAAGAGGATGTTCTGTACAGCTGGGTAAACTGTCCTCCAGGTGCTTGCCTTATCCTGACTCCCCAGGCAGTCTGTTCTCTGGGCCACTCTTGTTTCCAGATGAATGAAATTAATTTTAGTTTGTATTCTTGGTACCTCAAGCTTCATGTAGCATTGAGGTGTTTATTGTCTGTTTCAAAGAGCATAAATATCTGTATAAATCAAAGTAACTCATTAACACTGCCTCATCTCCAGTATGAGCATCCTAACAACTATACAAAAACTTTCATTTTACTTCTACCTCAAACTGTGCTGCTTTAGCCTCTTTTTAATACCATGAATACTTTGCCTGGGATTATCTCCATGAAGTTACCATGTTGGAAGAAAAGAGATAATGATAAAAGTAATTTTCTGTTGAAAAATACTACCAAGCTGCTCTTCTTCACTTACTTTTTCTGAAGGCCTCAAATTAGGCTCTAGCAGAATTTCTTGTAAAGCCCATCTGTCCGTTTTATATAAACTTAGCAGGTATTTGGCTATTCCATTGATTAAAACACAGCACAATTATAGTTGTATTGTGTGTTTCCCTCAACAGAAGCTTTCCAAGATCTGTGCCAACGGGCTGGGGGTGAATGTTTCCAACCAGGATGGTTTCACCCCGCTGCACATGGCTGCCCTGCACGGGCACGGCGAGCTGGCGTCGCTGCTGCTGCGCCACGGCGCCAGCGCCAGCGCCAGGAACGCGCAGCTGGCAGCTCCCCTGCACCTGGCCTGCCAGAGGGGACACTCGCAGGTAACCCTGCCCTGGCACAGAGCTCGCTGCCTCCTGGCACCCACTGAACGCTGCCTGGGGGAGTGAGCAACCGGACCAAGCCAGGAGCAGAGAGAATGAGTTTGGCGCGTCTGGTTTTTGTTTTTGGTCTAAAATCTCCAGATGGAAAGGGGAACTTTGAGCTGAAATCGTTTCAGTAGACATCTTTTCTTTATGAAAGCATATATGACTTTATATGTAAGCATATATGACCTAAAATACTGGTTTAATGCAAATGGTGTATCTGTTGTATTTCAAATGCTTTAAACATCCCTTGTGCAGCTGAATCTTCTGTGTTGGTTCCTCTGTACCTCCTTCTCTGGGTCATGTTTGTGTCTTGGTGTCTTCAGTAGCCACAGTACTAAATAGTTACTGTAATTTCAACTCCTTAATTAGATCATAAGCCTAGTGCAGCTTGGAGGCAGCAGGTATCTCATCCCTCACTTCAGGTCAGGGAAGCAAAAGCAGTGAAGGAGAAGCATGAGCCCATGGAGGGAGGGTGTCAATACAGGAGAGAGAGTAAATGAGACAGGAAAACAACAAACATGAAAAACCAGGGGAAAAAAGGCAAATGGAAAGATGCAGAAAAGCAGAAAATTAGGAAAATTAGAGAAGTGGAGAATTATTTAAAAATAAGGAGCTGAAGAATGCAGGACGAAAAGGAAGAGGATTTTGAAAGTGATAGGAAGACAAAATAGTAGGGAAGCAAGAAAAACCAAGAATACAACTCAGAGTTGTAGGTTAATTAATGGGGTAGTTGTAGATTAGTTCATGGGGTAATTACAGTATAAAGAACTCCTTCCAGGTGTTGTGATGAGTTTGGAAAAGGGTGCTGCTGCTGTGGTGGTTTGGTTTTGATGTTAAGTTACTGGTTATATGCATTTTTCACACACCTCTAATTTTATTTTCTGGCCTTTCTTGTAGTTGCTTACATTTTTCTTTTTTAAAAGTGGGTGTTAAAATATGACAATTAGTTTCATACTCAGTAACTCAGTACTCCTACTCAGAAGAGTGAAGTTGTTATTTCTTTCAATAGGTGGTAAAGTGTCTGATGGATTACAATGCTAAACAAAATAAAAAAGATATATATGGAAATACTCCCTTAATTTATGCATGCTTGAATGGTCACTATGAGACTACTGCCCTGTTGCTGCAGGTAAGATCACTGAAGACAGAGTGTTCTGCTGGTGTTTCTTATGTGATATCTGTGCTTACCCAGTACTCAGGATCAGTATTTTTAGTTATGCTTGGGGGAAATACTTGGGGAAAGAAGTAAGAATTTTTGTTAACTTACTCTTTTGAATCCCATCCCTTCACAGAGATTAATTAGATAAATGTTAACTTGCTGTTGTACAGGTAGCTGTTTTTATGGAACTTTTACGTGGACAGTGTCAGGTTTTCTTGCCTGGGATTCTATCACATAGGGTTGGGGGTTTCTTAAGTATCTCTAAAGCTTGGCATATGTAATAGATATATGCGAAACCCAAGTGAGCTGATCCATGCAGCTCTGGCCAGGAGCTGGGGCAGTAACGTGGCCAGGTGGCTTCTTGTGGCTCTGGTGGTGCAGCTGCCCCTGGCTGCCTGCACTGGGGCTGCTGCACTGCTCTGCTCCTTTCTGACTGTGATCTCCCTTTGCCGCAGCACGGAGCCTCGGTGAACCTCTGCAACGCCCAGGGCAGCACGGCCCTGCACGAGGCCGCAGCGCGCAGCAGCGAGGCGCTGGTGGCATTGCTGCTGCAGCACGGCGCCCTGCGGCACCTGCGCAACCAGCGCGGCTGCACCCCCGCCGACTGCGCCGAGCCCGTGAGTGCTGCCCTGCCTGCCACAGGAGCTGTGTACACGCTGAGCTGCACCTGAGCTGCACCTGAGCTGCACACTGAGCTGGACCCAGCTCGCATGGGGACGTGAACGCTGATGCCTGCTCCTTGGCAGCCTGGCGATGGTTCCGGGGGCCTGGGAAGCTGTTGTGTTCCTAGAATGTTGTCCTAGACTAAAAGCATGGGTCTAGAAAGAGTGGAAGCACAGACGTAAATAAAATTAACATTCAAACCTCTGTAATGGCAGAGAGAGCAGAAGTTGGATGTACAAACAAACACCTTGCACTAATCAGTTGTGCTGGCAGCAGGGTTCCTTGTCCCATCCATTATCTTCTGCCCTTCAAACCTTTTGGTTCCTTTTATCTTGCAATAGATCACTCTGGCCTTCCCCTTTATTAATAGCAATAACATTATATGTAATATTAAATTATACAGAATTATTTCACTCGTTAAAGGATTTGATACATGGCTCCTATCCTAATGTGCTTAAATGGCCTCTGAGATGTAGCTTAATGACCACAAAATTCTGTACTGAATCCATTTTGGTATGTATGTTACCATTTAAACTGAAATTGGCTTAACCATAAGTAATGCAGCTTAAAATAAGAGGTCAGGACTCCAACCTCATCACTGCATTACAGTGTAACTTGTGGCACACTGATTTTGCCTCTACTCAGAATGATACAGAATGAAGTTTGTTTTTATAATGAGTTATTTTATGTGTGTTGTATTGATTCATAGAAGCATTAATTAACACGCTCTGCCCAGACTGAAATACTAAAATGTACTCTTGTTTTTCTTTTTCTTCAATAATGGTGAAAATGGAAACCCTTAAAATCAAGAATTCAAACATCATGAAGTTGCTGGAAGCAGCACCAAGCTGTGTCCCCACATCAGCAGAGGCAGAGAAGGAGAGTGAGCAGCACGTTACTGGCAAGATAAGGAAAAAAGGTACCTGTGATATTTCCACTGGTATGAATAAAAAGGAATGTAATTGCTATACATACAATAATAGAACAGTCAATTATTTTTCATATTTATGATAGGTAACACCTAAAATACTGTAACTAAATGCAGCAGACTTTGTATTCTATTCATGACATTGCTTTAAACTTAGTTTTCACCTACTTTGGGGTGTATGTGTGAATTTTACCTACAAAACCATTTAAAGGTAAAAACACACCACATATGAGATTATATAATGGGCCATGTAGAACTGTGCATTTCAGTGCAAAGCAAAACAGATTTAAATGACTGTCGGGTGTCATTTATATTGCCCTAAAATAGGTCAGGGAGTGACTCTTCATTAGTTACTGTCTCTCATGTTTTGGGACAGAAATGAGAGCTACAGAGGTGACTGTGAACCTTCCAGCACAGTTTGCAGAGGACTTTGAGCAAGTGGCAGGAGGTGGCACCGTGTGGCCACGAGGTGCAGTACCAGCACAGCTGGGCTGCAGCAGGGCCCCGGTGCCTTGGGAAGGATGAGTTACCATCCTTTTGGTACATTTGTACCTTTTGTCTTGCAGTGTAAACTCTGACATTCCCCTTTTTTAGCAATAACATTATATGTTATATTCAACGATGCAAATTTATTTCACTCCTTGAAGGATTTGACACGTGGCCCTATCTTAATGTGCCTAAGCAGCCTCTGAGATGGAGCTTAAGGACCACAGATGCTCCCTCCTCACCCCCAGCTTCTGATCACTGCTCCCATTATGCTGGCTCAGAAGTTTTTCAGGTGCATTTTCAAGTTCACTACCCTGGGGATGTAAGAAAAGCTGTGCCCCCTGAGCTGACAGCTCAGCAAAGGACATGAAGCCACCAGGACTGTAGGAAGAAAACAGGGGGGCTGCAAAGCAGGAATTGGGGAAGATGAGGAGCAAGAGTGCCCATTTCAGCACCCATGAGTATTCTAAATAACTCTTGCTTCCCTCCCTCAGAAAGATTGTCAGTGTCTGGTTAATAGAAAATCGCAATCACAGCATGCTGACACCTAAAATTGAGAATAGTTCTTTCAAATATTTTGAATAGTTCTAAAAGAGCAATAGAAGATATGAGTGAGTAATAGTAATGAAGAGGTGGTTTAGCATCTGTGTGTTAATTCAGGTTGGTAAAAATTGGAATTCAGGGCCTCAAAGTCCAGAATTACAGTTTCTTTAGAAGCTTGGCGAGTTGTTTTATCTGAGGAAGAATGGTTGTATCTGCAACTTAAAAGATTTTAAAATTTCCAAAGACAAATCACCACTCTAATTCAAGTTAGCACTGTTATAGTTTTACGATCAGTTTAAAATCAGAACTGTGTTTTTTAATTCCTAAGTGAGACTCAGTTGTAATTTTAGCTGCCTTTTCTTTTAAATCCCCAGTGCATCCTAAGCCCTGTGAGGAAGCCGATGATCCCATAAACAGACAACTTCAACTGGTCCAATCAATTAACAGATTTAACAAGTAAGCAGAGAAGCTTGCTCAGAGTTTGTTCTTGTTTCCCATAAGCAAATGAGAAGTGCAGCTGCTAACAAAGGCCCAGAGTGGGTCAGGGGTGGTTACACATGGCAGTGGCGTGCCAGTGGATGTTAATCCTGCAGGGCTGGCACAGTCACATCCCAGGCAGATGTTCGGGCACGACAGGCTCACTGGGGTGGAGAGGGAGGGCTTGAAAATGTATCTAAAATTGGGATTGCACTAATACTTGGTGTACTATCAGTTAAGCATTTCAGAGCCAGACTGCTTAAAAATACTCCAGTGGTGTTCACTCACTGGTTGGGTTTTGCTCAGTATCTTCTTAAGCCCTAATGTATATTCCATAGTAAAATACAGGGAATACAAGTAGGCTGCAGCTCTGGGAAGGTGTTGTCAGGGAGCTGCCGGTCTCTGGTGAGACAGTTCCACCTTGTGGAGCTTCTGAGAGAGGCTTTTATGAAAGGCTTATGTGAACACATTTAATTTCTTTGATTTCTTTAAAATCTTCTTTAGAGAAAAACACTTACGGAAAACAATAACAAGAGACAAAAGTGTCCCTAATTTTGACTATCACTTACTGCACCAGGTGAGTGGAAATACTTGCTCAGATTATTCTTACATTACAGCCAATATGTTAGTTTGCTCTGTTATTACTCTGGGAAGATGTAAGAGAAAGTTTACTAGTAGTGGTCGTTGAATCACAGAAGTTCTGACCTGTTTGCCAAATTTCATCATGGTTCAAACTTCAGTGGTGCTTCTAAGACATCTCTTGAGCATTTCATTCTTTCAAGTCTCTTAAGCCTCTTAACTGCAGGCTTCATCTCTGTCTTGTTTTCTGTGTCATGTCCAGCAAAACCTACAACTGAAAAACTGCAGCTTCTTGGAGCTGTAGCTTGCTTTGGCAAGAGAGACATTTTTCAGTGGATTGAAATTGGGGTTTTCTTTGTAAGAGGAGACTGCAAGGGTGACAGCAAACTGCATGTTGCACTGTCAGCTGTGACACAGATGTAGGTAATAGATTCACCTCTGCTTGGGGTGCAGTGACACCCACAGCAGCTGCTGGATGCTGCCTTCCCCAGAGCTTGTGCTCCTTCTGCCTCCTTTACACTGCCTTTGACTCTCATTGCATCTTCTGCTGAGCCATCTCAGAACAGTAAATCAAGAGAAAAATGACCTGTCCAAAACAAAACAGTTTTTACCAGGTTAGTCCAGCAGCTGCCCATCATTAGACTGACACAGCCTTGGAAATGCAAACTCTGCAACTCATGTCCTTCTGGAAAATGGGATTCTCTTCCTTTTCCTACAGTCCTTAGAAGACTGAGTATTTGCCAAAAGCCCTGAGAACGCTAAATTAATCCTATAAAGCCGTAATATTTTATTAATTCCTCCTAAACTATAATATTCCACTACTTAACTTGGGATTTACATTTTATAACTCTGGATCACTGAAGGCAGTATATCATTTCAGTACACAGGTGTCAGAAAACCAATATGTGACCCTGATACAGAGCACTCCAGCCCTGTTCTGTGGTTGTGAGTTCATACAGCTATGGCTGAACTAATTCATTAGTCCATTCAGCTCTGAATTGTTAGTGGATTTAAATGTGCCTAACCTCTGTCTGCAGCTTTTTCAAGACTGTTTCCATTATTTCAGTAAAAATGCTACTTTCTCCTTTTGTTCTTGTCTAAGAAGATCTGTCATTAGCATGCTTGCATTCTCTTTATTTCTTCTGGTCATTTGAACATTTGCAGAGTGGCCAGTAATGCAGGCCAGCCATGCACCCTGTACAGCAGAAACAGGAGCAGGTGTGGAAATGGAAGAGATGAATAGCTGCAATGACCAGAAAGAGGCACTAAGGGGTGGGGAGGGTGAGTGTCTCTTCCCTGACAGGTGACCTCTGGAAGGGAAAACTGCCTTTGCCTTCAGCAGTACCTGGGTGTCCCTGTCTGTTACTGCTTCCACTTTTCTTAATAGTAAAAGAAATGGCTGTTAATTTTAAGTGCATTGAGACTTGTATTAGAAATGGTGTGTAGAAAAGTTGGGATGCTGTTGGGATAGTGAGATGAAAATAAGTTTTGGAATGTCTGTTATGTTTTCAGTCTGGTACTGATGTGTGTGTAGCCTGGGGCAGGCTGGCTTCTTTTTTTCTCATATGTAGCACAAATATAATTACTCTCTTACAAAGTATGCTATTTTAATCTTGGCTGTGTTCTCAGTGTCATGAAATTCATGTGATAATAATGTTCTAGAAACAATATATTAACTTTCCTTTTTAATGAAGAAAGCAGATGCTTTTAACGTACCATTTCTCTCTCCTCACAGATGGCTATTAAAAGCTTTGATAAAAGCAAATTAAAATCTGTTGGAATGCTGGAGCAGAGCACAGGCCAGGTGCCTGACTCGGGGTGCAGTGGTGAGTTAGTGGAGGATGCTGCCAGGAGCAGATTGCTGCAGCGCAGACACACGGTCAACGTGGTCAGCGTGGGCAGCGCCGGGGGCTCCTGCAGCCCTGCAGAGCCCGCGGTGCCACAGCCCCAGGACCAGCACAATTCAGCCTCACATCACTGAAGGCAGCACGGATCTGCAGCCCGCAGCTGAGCAAGCTGGTGGTGTGAATTTCAGAAGCCCTTCCCTGTGTGTTGCTGTCAGTGACATTCACACACCCCGGCTCAGAGCAGGCACAGGCTCTGCAGCACAGCTGGAATGTTCTGGCACCCTGGGGCCTGACTCCTCTGTTCATGCTGGAGGTGACCACACAGCCAGGTCATTACTGATCTCACTAACAGGGACACAACGAGATGAAGACAGCAAAACGACTTTCCTATTCTATTCAGCACTTGTTAAAAAGTTCTATGTAACAGTAAACCAAATGAAACCCTGTATTTTATTTTTCAGCTACCCACTTTGTTTTAAAAGTCTTTGAATAATTTTTGCATTTTCAGTTTTTATCACTACATTCAGAATATAAATATATTTGTATATATAAAAAGATATATTGGATAACAAGGTATTTATTGCCAGAGGTAATTGAAATGTCTCTATTTTTACTGTAATGTTACAAACCATTATAATATATATTTGTGTATATTTCAGTAGCTGGGCAAACAATAATCCATAACATCTCCTTTACTAATGTGAAGGGATGTAATCCTTTCTAATATCTCAGCAATGCTCCCCTGCACTGGAGCTGCAAGATCAAGTTCTTACAGAGGAGCCAAGATACTGGAGAAAAAGTGGAGAGCCCTTGTCAAAGCTGAACTTTGGACTCACTGTTCACAGCCTCATAAAAAAGCAGAAGCAAGCACAAGGTGCTTGCTTGTGTTTCATTGTAGCATGCATTTAAGTTGCTTTTCCCCTACTCTAAAGTAAGTAATGCAAAAATGCACAAATATTCACAATTCTGATCCTGGGCAACATCCACAGCCAAAACTGCTTCAGAGCCTGCTCTGGACTGCTTTAAAAAGGTGACATTGCCATTATGAAAGGTACCTCTCACATCAATGAGCACTGGCTGGAATAGGCCAAATCCTGCCCCGTTCCCAGGGGTGATCCCTGAAGAACTGAGAGCTGACAGGGAACTACCAAGTGGCTGCTTGGATTTGAACTTCATTTTCTACTGTTCGGTTAAGGGAGGACAAGCTGTAAATAGCACAAGCCAGGTTTTGCAGTGCAGTATTTTTTTATTCTTGGCTCATCACATCCAGCTTGCATTTTATTTGTATAGATAATTCTCTTTCTTTTAACTGTGGTATTAGTAAACTGCCAAAATACAAAGCTGGAAGATAGTGCTGGGTTTTTCAGATAACTTTTTAATCTAAGAGGTAAAATGTCAAATGACATTTGGATTTGAGGATAATGTGTTTATTTTTCTAATAATTTATGAGTTCATCTGATTTTCTGATGTGCCTTGGATTTGTGCCAAATGATGGGAAGAAAAAACTAGTAAAAGAACTCTTGCAAATGCTGGTTTCTTTGGGTGCTTTTGTCCAAGTATTGAGTCTATTACAGATTTTCTTGCTTGGTTTTGTAGGCATTTGAAGATCTTGCCTTGTGTTTATTACTCTTGAACTTTCCTTCCTCCTACATTTACAGATAACTTTATTAGGTTGTGTGGTTGTAGATTTATGCACAGATGTGTACAAAATAGAACTGTTAGTGAAACTGAGCATTTTCACATAACCTCCTTTTCTAGATCTACATTCCAATTAAAAAAAAAGTTCAGCTATTACAAGTCAAAAGGAAAGAGGTAAAACAGGTTTTTCCTTCTTGTGAAACTATAAAGATGACTCAGAGTAAGTCATTGGTTCTTACCTGTAGCACGAATAATCCAGATATTTAAGATCTAGTAGACTGTTATAGATCTGATTTCTAAATTACAGTGAGAATTTTGCTTGTGTTTCATTGTAGCATACATTTAATTAAATTTTTCTTCAGATTTCTCAAGCATATAGATAAAAAAATCAGTTCACCAAACTTTGGCTTCAGACTCAGTAAGGGTGGTAGGTCTGAAGAAATTTGGCACTCAGGGCATCACTACAGCTAAGACATCCTAATTACAAACACAGAGAAGCAAAATGCACAGTCTAAACCAAATGAAACAAAAATAACAAATGTTTCGTATCTTTAACCACATTCAGACAAGATGAAAAACACACCCACTAGTGCTCACTTGAAACAAGTTTATTCTGTTCCAAAAAACACTGCAGTTGGAATCCTACACGATCCTGTTAAATTATGTCTAAGGGGGTTGTGGTGGGAGAGTTTATCAGCACATTACAGTATTCATCCTACTGATTTCCATAACCATATTCTTGAATAAACGTACAGCACAAGTTCAGTTTCACTTTATGCATGCAGGAGTTACAGAGTTTAGGAAAAGGGTCTTTTTTTCCAGGTAAGAAACGCTCCAGCCATTTGATAAAAGTGGAGGTAGTTGTAAGATACAGGATACCAAGTGTCTGAACAGTGCTGTGTGTGACACAGTTAACTTGCTTTGTTTGAAAGCCCAGGAACTCACAAGGAACAGTTCAGCTCTTTGCTGGTAACACTTCTTTACAGACTGCCTGATAGGAATCCCCTGATCCAACACTATTTGGATACCTTCATTTTACATTTCCAGTAAGGACTTGAGAGCCGGTGGCTGGGTGGGCAGGCATCCTTCAGGGGCTCAGCAATCTCCTTTCTGACACTGCTGTGACAGAGTCTGGGCAGACTGAAACTCTGAGTGGCTGTTCCCTGGCTCACTTGTGTTTGCATCTCCAGTAACAGCAAGTTAAGTGTGTGCAGTGGCTGAAAGCAGAGCTTACAGTGAGGAAGGGGTAACAAAACATTCATGCTAATGAAGCCATGGGGAACCCCACACTGCTCAGGCCTCTTATACTACAAAACCTTAAGTTATAAAATCCCCCTTCTCAGATTTATTTTACAAGTTATTTGTTGGCCTTTTATAATAATAAAAAAAAAGTCAAGAAGCGTAAACATTTCCAGATCTTGCATTCTGCCTGCTAACAGCATTGTTCCAGGCTATTGTTTGGCAGCCTTACAGTAGTATTAATAGTCATCCTCTTCATCAGAATCCAACACTTTCCTTCTGTTGAACTAAAATGAAATACATAAAGTGAAGACTGAAGGGTCATGGTGAATGCAGGCTGGCACAAGCCTTTCCCAGTGCATGCACGTGGCACAGCACAGAGCTGGGCCAGGCTGGCCCCAGCAGCTGCAGGTGTGCAGGACTGCTCTGATGGAACCCCAGCACCCTCCAGGGCAGGGCAAGAGGTGCAAACACAAACTGCCACCCTGACCTGGTGCCACACGTGCAATTCTGCTGCTCTACTTTACACAACATTACATCTAGGAAAGAGAACTCACCTTCACTGTTGTTTTCTTTTCTGTTTGCTGACTCACTTTTTCAAGGATTTCTATCAAACCTTGTTCTGATACCTAGGAAAGTCAAACAAAATGTGGATAAACACACTCTGAGAGATGCTTTGTATCAAACAACTGAATCACAATTTCCTTTCTTACAAAAGATTTTTGGTGGAATTATATATAGTCTTTAGGAGCTATTTACAGTTAGTTTAATTTACATCTATTATAACCATCTTTTTTTTAGAGTGAATTTGGTTTAAAAATAAATATATGTGAGAAAGAATTAGGAAATATACTCACCTTTCCAGCTAGCTGTCCAAATCTTGCCATCTGTATAAGATAATTCTCTACTGCTTTTGCTTTGTCTGGTTTCACAAGTGCTAAATTGCTTACTGCAACAAAAACAGGCTCTGTTCATTTGGGTTTAGAACATTCTCCAACACCTTCATTAGTAACAAAGTGAGAAATGTCCCTAGGAAACAATTTTCATGCCAGGGTCATGAAATAAATTGAAAAAGGCATTTTCATTTATGCCAGGTACAAGACAGTTATATTTCTTAATTTTAAATATTTGCTCCTGATTAAACAACTCTGACTCTCCATATAATTCCTTCTATTAATTTAAATAAAAACCAAAACATAAACCTAATTCAGATCCTCATTAGCCTCTCCCTTCTAATCAGTGATATTGCCAACTGAAAAGCTGCAAGTTTTATCTTCTCAGCAAAACCATATTTTTCTAGTCTGGCCTCTGTACAACACACTTCTGAGGAGTCACTGAGATGAGTATTTTTTATTCGAAGTTACTTGGATACTCACATCTTGCACGAGCTGCTTGATCAAGAACTTGAGCTAAAATAGTATTTCTTATCTCTGCTTCCCTGTAAGGAAAAGTGAAGCACACATTAAAAGTGGGATTTCAAACACCTAAAATAACATGCACAGAACAGCAAACTTCAGAAGACTTTGGATTTGTGGAAGTGGCTTGAGGTCACTTCAAACCTTCCATCTTTTACAGCATTTCCTGTCCTGGGAATGTCCATTTCTTATGGACACTTCCCATTTCCCATTACTGAACTTACACAGCTGGCAACATCTTCCAAGAAACCAAGGTGGAGTTTCATACTTAGACCTTCTCACTGCTCATGATTACATTTTAAGAGACAAAAGCTGTGCTGCCCTTTAGATCCTGCATTTATCCATGTGGAATTCACCCCAAGGCAGTGCATGGTAGAACAGGCACAAGGAATTGTCCATGCAATTCCAAAACCAAAGCTCATTTATGTATTTAGAACTTTTCACTAAGTCCCCATGTATGTACAATATTTGATATAAGTATCTGCAAAGCTGGAGCTTTAGTTTATGAAACTTTAGTTAATACAGACTTGAACTGTGCAAAGTCAGCTCTTCAAACACTTGTTTACAATTTTGCCCTCAGCACAAATACTGAACCCTGTTCCCCCACTGAGCTTTGACAAAAATAATTTTGCTTCATCTCTTTAACTGGAATAGGTATCCCAGAAAAATCAAATCAAGTGGGAAAGGCCCCTGCCACTGCAATAACAGCCAAACCCAACCCAAACTCACCACAGACAAAAAGCACCAGTTTGGGAGGAGTTCTGCCAGCCTTCAAGACTTGGATCAGGAACTCCTACCAACCCTGAGGAGCCAAGGATTCTGCCCTCCAGAAGCAGGTGGCAGTGGGAGGGATGTCCCCAGAGCACCCGACTGTATCACTGCAGCTCAGGAGGTCACTGACTCAGACAAGGCCAAGGGAAAATGAGCTGCTGCTGCTTTCTCATCTGCCCTCCCAGCCCAGCAGGGCTCAGGCAGAATGGTCGTGGCACGGGAGCCACACCTGCACCAAACCTTTGGTCCATTTCAATTCCTTTGGGGGTGGTTTTCCCAGCAACTAAACAAATGTGGGGCAGCATTCCAAAGAAATTAAATACTTAAAAAAAAAAAAGTAAATGGTTAAAGAATTCAATAGTCTCATTTATACCTCTGCTTTGCTTCCTGTTGTGACGGGTCAGCGGAAGGATCCTGGAGGAGGAGATCAGAGCAAACATCACAATCCAGAATCACTCCACACAGGACAGAAAGTTAAAACATTCCAGCAGTGTGGATGGAAGATAAACCAGCTTGCTAAACCTGCCTGCCCATGGACGAGATCCTGGAAATGGGAATCTGCTGCCCTAGCAGATAAATGTGCTCTCCTCACAGCGCAGTCATGCCCACAGTGGGGTGAGCTGCTCCTGGGCTGTGCACAATTCCTGGGGCTGGGAAGGAAGCCCTCCCCTTAGCTCTAGGATAACAGGCTTCTCCAAAGCCCAGAAAACTGACAAAAGCATTATGGATCCATTAGAGGAAGTTAAGGATAAGGAAAGTGAAACCTAACACATTCTCAGCTTGGCAGCTGCAATCCCAGAATCACAGAATCATGGAGCATTCTGAGCTGGAAGAACCCACAAGGATCAGCAAGTCTAACTCCTGAAACCAATGAAAAGTTAATGAGGGGGGTTCTACAAGGGCTGGTTCCTGCATTAAACACCAATACACATGAAAAACAAAAGGGGGAAAACTTCCAAGCCACTATTACTGTAGTACCTACAGGCACATCTTCAAATTCAGGATCTGCCTGAATAAACTGAGGAAGAAAAGCTGGGCTGGGGTCATTTGAGTCTTCAACTTATTACTGGTGACTATTCAGAAACAAGTAACAAAAAACCAAAAAACCCCTAAACTTTCTATGGAATCAACACCTCAGATTTTAGAGGTAACAATTAAAGGTGTGAAAGCAGGATGGAAAACCACACAGAGGAAATGGGGCTGGCTGGAGGTAGAGCTCCTTCACAGGAACAAAACTGACACTTCATATAAATCCATACATGGATTGTGCCAGAGCGTGGTGTCCAACTCCTTGCAGTGGTGCCCAGCACAGGACAAGGAGCAATGGCCATAACTAAAACACAAGTTTCATTTCCACACGAGGATCAATTTCTTTCCATGGAGGGTGGCAGAGCACTGGAGCCGCTGCCCAGGGCGGGCGTGGAGTCTCTGGAGACATTCCAAACCCACCGGGACACGCTCCTG